TCTAAACCGTGTTTACACTGTAGTTTGGATGTAGTTCGTCAAATGAAGATGAATTTACGATATATCAATCCCAAAATAACCAAGTTTGTCTTAAATGAATATACTGTAAACGCGCATTAAATATCTAGATGCGATAGACTTAGTGTAGAAAATTCAAGGTACATTAAATCATTGGCAATAATAAAGATCCAATTTTAGTTTTTAGTTACACACTGTTAACCACCAATATATGTTTTAATCATATAATTTATTCAGTTCGACTTAAGACTTAATTATAAATAGATACAGTTGTTTTAACTTGGATTTAGATTTTAATTATGTATGCTGCATATATGCATATAGATCACCTTGCAGCGGAATCACATTATATATCTTTTTAGTTGGTGTTCATATCGTCTTACGTATTTGTCAACATCAAGGCGAACTTGTTATATTGTCCCATTAGCCTATTCAGACTTGTTACCACGAATTTACTCACCCCACCCTTGTTTCACTTGACTAAAGAAACATTTTGTAGGAATGTATGCTTTTATAGATTGAACACTTGTTTGCGGAGATGGGGTTTCAGTCGGCTGATCTAAATTATTTCTTTAAATACAGTAAAGCTTGAAATATCTCAGTTTTCACTCTTTAGAATGTTTTTGTAAACAAGTTTTTTATTGTAGTTTCCGTGACGTGTTCCCAGTAAGCGTTAGAAACAAAGATATATACCCTTAATTCCGGTGCCGATAAATGTTGGGTTGTGTGGAACATGCTAGAGGCGATTTGTAACAAATCCCAGATACGATATATGTTTGATACTGGTTGAGAACAAACTCTAAACCAAATGCGTCCCGTTTACTGAGCCCCTTCAAAGGGGACCCTGTCTGTCTACCTGTGGAATAACATGCATTTGTATCTGTTAAATTTGTGTGGTTTATATATTAGACAGATTGATATTATTTATACATAGGCGGGGAGTGATAACGTCTTGCCGCAAATGAATTGCAAAAGAAACCAGGAATTTTCGGAGAGCGATATTTCGTAATCAGTGTATTTTAGTGGTGGGGGAATAAATAATTTATTTTTAAATTTTTCAAACGCAAACTGGTTATAGAGGCGATATGTGCCGAAAACCGAATTTGACAAAAATTCAAAAACTGTATTTTTCATATGTATGGCGCCGGGCATATCTATATACGGCTTTGCTCCGCTTTTATATCTGACGTCACGTGATCGTCGAAGTACGCTCCAACACGCTATGCATAAGTTAAGCATAAGTTAGACTAACGTTGTGCATGAGTTCCGCATAAGTTTACGCTGTGGGGTAAGTTTGAATAAGTTACTCATACGTCATTCAGTGCGTTAGAAGTACGTTATATATGCGTCCAAAAGGAACGTCCTCTTGATTTTTTAATTCAGCTTCAGCGTATGCCAGCGTGCTGGATAATTATTTCATACGTCGGAGTAAGTTGTCTAAAACGTTATAGTGTGACAGGCCCATAAGGGTAACACCAAATTTAACCACGCTGGACGTACGGACTGGTGTACACGGGTAATCTCGTGTGCTCCTCCATATTCTTAGGCATTGCAGGGTATAAACATGGGGCTTAAATCTAGGTAGGTCGACAGACCTATTCTTGTTGTTGTTGAAGTTACATTTTTATGTAGGCTACCACGTGCCTTCAGATCAGATAAGCACATTGTGCGAATTGTGATTTAGTTTCTGAAAATGGAATGTACGTCCACTCAGACTCAGTGAGCAAGGCGCTGGCTCATGAACAAGGGTTTCCCCTTGTCAGTGATGAAGGACGGAGGGCCTGGCGAGGAATAATGCATAGTCCTTCGGTTTGGACAAAATGCAGGTCCCATAAACCAAAAACGAAACCAAAATATTAGTGATTGAATAGATTGCATTTTAGATAAATTTTAACCACATGTTTATTCGTTTTGACTAATGTGGGCGTTTTAATTTACGCTCGTTTTGATCATAACCAGTTTTATAGTCTGCAGAATATGCTAAATGTTGCCCAATTGTCAATTCATTATATCTTTATAAATACTGAACGTGAATAAATCATTTTTGTACTGATTTTCCTTTCAGAGATTCGGGGGAAACGGTGGCTAAGTGAATAAGACACTGGCTCGCTAGCCTGGAGGTAGCGGTTTCGATCCCGGTGTTGGCCGAAAAAAGTTCATTCGGAATTTTCAGATGGTGTTTCCCCTTGTCAGTAGTGCAGGACGGATGGCCTGACAAGGACAGCTGTCAAGTCGTTCGGATAGGGCGAAAAAAGTCGAGGTCCCGTGTACACATTGGCGCGCACGTAAAAGATCCATTGGCAGTTGGAATTCGATATAACAGTTCATTGTAACATTTTATGTTAAGCACTTGATACATAGGTTACAACAATGCTATACATAAAATCATTCTCTACACCCCACTCTTGTGGCGTGGCTAGACTTTTGAAAATCACTACATCTTCAAATGGTGGTCTAAAGCATCTGCATGATGTCTGATCTAACGTCGCAGAGGTCTGGCGTTTTCTATGCCTGGACTTCTGCTATCAATTATCAATTGGTCAAATATTTGCGTAATTAATTATGATTGGTTACTAAGCCTAATGACGTAATGGTAATTCTACTATCTGGACCATAAGAATTTGTCCTTGGCCCTAGATCCCATTTCCTGTTATTTTCACAATATTTCATATACAATTTTATTTGCGTTTTCAAATAAACTCATACCATTAAGTTAATATTTTTACAGTGGAGAAGACAAAGGACATATGTAATTATCAAAGTTATAAATCATGTCCTCGGGTGCACTTATAGGCTATTCGCCTAATGTAATTATTTTGCATAAATTACCCAATATTACTACACGCTACCCGGGCAAATTTTCCGTCATAGCATAATGTATGGTGTAAGCGCGTCTTCATTCGTTCAGTAATAGCAGAACAGTAGGACGTTAAACCCCATTTCGTTTCATTTTATTTCAACTGTTACAACCTCTCAAGTGACGTTCATAGCCTTTTACTATAAATCTGCAGATAATTAATCAATCAGAACAGTCAGCAATTATAATAATAATAGTTTCTTATATTGTATGTGTTTGTTTGTCGTAATAATGTGATATATGTGATGGTATCCTGTTCCCCGAGGGCGTAAACATACTTCTATTGTGCAGTTAATCGACCCCTTACACGTCACACACTGACCAGATAATTATGTATCGGTTTGCTTTGGTTCTTTATTTGGAAGCCTTGTAATGTGTTAATATTAATACATGGATCAGATCCATGTTAAATGTGAAATTCGAGGGATCTTTACATCGTAGGTACACAACGTTCAGTATCAACCACCTTGTCCAGACATGATACGTACTGCCATTACATTGTGGAAGCGTGGTCATTCTATATCCCTTAGCAACTATATTTTCCGTTAAACATTATGAGTGAAGCTTTGTTTGTAAAGCAAAAAAACAAAAAAGAAAAAGCACTTTAATGTCCGCCTCGGGATATGTTCTCCATATTGTACGGAACACACTCGTCAAATGTAGAATTGGGCACGACGATATTGTAGCATGAGATAAATTAACGAATGGTTTTGTTACAGTAATGAACGGCAGTGAAGTTGCATGTGATATATTCAGAGGACCTTCAACACGTGTACAAGACCCTCACCCAGGCATTAAGATTAAAATTATCAATTATAAGTGTTAGCTTTAGTGCCGCTGTCCGGACAAAATTTCCCGTATGCCCGTCTTAATTCCAGTCAGCGTAGAAACGTTAAACCCCATTTCATTTCCATGTTAGTTACGTCATGTAAGTTTGAAAGTAAGGTACATATTATTATTGTACTATTCTTAAAGATACATTATGGGGGATTAGATAAAGAGCTGACAGTTCTCACTATAATAGTTAAAAACTAGATACGATAAAGGGAATTTGCTGAAAATTTCAGTCAAATAGATCCACTATGAACCGAGATTTTAGCGATTGAATTTTCGGTCTAGCCGCGATCATCATTTCTAAAGTCGGTAGGATAAAAAAACATAGTCTCGAGTATCCAGTTCATGATTAAAAACATAGTCTCGATTATCCAGTTCATGATTAAATTATGTATGGGAGTCGAACAGCAAATCGGAAACCTAATCCAATAAACTTCGCAGGCTAGTGATGCCATCGAGAGTTGATTATGGTCTGGATAAGTTAATTAATGTCTAATTAATAATTTAGATAACATTTCAGGCCTAAAGAAAGACCTGCAATAGGCAGATTTAGCCCTTGCAGAATGTATGTTTAAATGTCAATTCATATACAGATTGTCCACGTTAGTTGCTACTTTAAAGATACATTAGTTAATTTTAATAAAGAGTTGGTCATTCTTGCTATAATAATTTAAAAATAGATGATAAAAAAAGAAAATATTAAAAATTTCATTCAAATTACTTCATTTTCAGCCAAGTTTTTATTATTTGTAGTTTTGACAAAATGTGTGCACAGTGGTAACCAGGGCACTGGTATAATCTGGACTTAGACTCGCTTTCCCAATTTTAAATTAAATTTTTAAATGGCGAACCGTTTTAATCTAGTGAAAATCTCGAGTATCCGATGCCATTGAGAGTCGATTATGGTCTTGTTTTGTTAATAAATGTCTAATTAATAGTTTATGTAACATTTAAGGTCTAAAGAAAGACCTGCAACAGGGAAATTTGGCTCTTGCATAGTGTATGTTTAAGTTAAAAGTACTATTCTTCAAGGCCAATTCCTAAAATATAGCAGGCTTATAGACAAACAGATTGTCAATGTTTTGATAATGTGGTGATTAATATATTTTGTCTTGGTATTAACTGAGATGACATTGTCATTTATTGATCTTGTCAACAAATCCATCTTGGGACAAGGATAAGACATATTGATTTTATTCTATCAGGATAAGATTTCAACATTTAACATAATTATGGTAAATAAAACTATTGGCGACGCCAATGGAAACCACGTATAAAATTCATTGATTTAACATTATTTATGAACATTTTGCAGAATAATTCTTCACCGTTATATTGTTTGTGGGTTTTTTGACGACAATAGGTGCACGTGGCGTTATTAATGTCTTCGTCTGATTCTGTGTTGAAACTCGTCGTGTCAGTTCATCAATCTGTGTGACAGACAGGTAGTGGATTTACTGTATGGCTAGTTTATTATAACATATGTCTAATTGTTGATAACTATAAACTATATAAACAGCACTGTGGAATGAAGAAGGGATTTTAGAACACTCTCGTAATGAATATCTAATAAGGTATATAAATGCTTTTTTTAAAATCTGAATGTGAGAATATATGATTTGAATTTATTTAATATGATGTGGTGTGGAAATAATCGCATATCAAATCAACGCATTATACTCGATGTACACAGGCTGCATTATGGGGGATAAAGGGACGAACTCGCTTTGATTACAGTCAAAAAGTCAAAAACAAATTATTTAATTTGGTTGATCTAATGTGTTAATTTACTGATGGTGCATGCTCTGTCAAATTAAATTTCCTTTCGATATTGGCTCGGATTATTGCCCCTGAGGTTACAATTTTTATCTCAATTTTATGTTTATATCCCAAAGATCCCGGTTCCTTTCGATATTGGCATATGTTGCCCCTGGTTGTACTATAATTAATTTTTTTAGCTTGTGTGGCCTCTAGAGGAGGAAATTTTTATTATTTTAAAAACCGTTCAATATCGCTGCTATACATTATAATCATGGTAGAGTTCGAGTTTCATGAAAATCGGGCCGAAATTTCCCGTCAAAAAGGCCACTCCCCATTACGCAAATAGTGGGAAAGCGTGTAATGCGTAGGCCTATACTAAGGTTGTGGACTCTCTAGATTTAGACGAAACATAAACTGTTTTCAGGATCAAAAGATATTGGATGAGTCAATTTTGGTGTGCACCAGACCTTCCGTTCCGGAGTTACCCCCCTCCCCCCCTGCCTTTTACACAAAATTTGAAATATGTTCAAAGCTTGTGGGGGTAACGCGATTGAAATTTACCAAACCAGTTCAAATGTTACTGGGGGTAACTCTGACGTTCATAAGGGTCAAAGTTCATGATAGTCACATTCGTCATTTTGTAAGATCAAAAAAGGTTGTGTTACCATAGACAGTATATGGCATTCTAATCATATATTCGTCGATTCGGGAGAATCTTTTACCCAAAATTTCTCATTTCGCCATGGTATAAAAATGCAAACCCAATAATAAATGAACACGTAATCTAAGGGCATCACAGTACCGTAAGACAAATCATTTTACTCACAAAAATAATATTGGTGAATGTATGCAAGCTTAACACAGGGTTTGTCAATCTGTTTAAAACGCAGTTCCTATTTCGTTTCGTTTTTTTTATATTTCAAAATTTCGTTTTACTTGCCTTTACTACACTAGGACCTAGAAGAGTTGTTATATAATCCGTGTTCAGGTTGATGTGAGGGATTAACCAATGAAACGGTCTGTTGCAGCGAGTTCTTGGCGTGCGATGCACGGAACGAACTGTACGTATTCCACTAGCAACATCAACGCTGATTGGTTAATCAAATGTCTGACGTCATAGGTTAAAAGCCGCTCGTATGACCCTGACACAACCTCCCACTAAAACTGATCAGATCTTCATGCAGTAGAGATCATCGAAAGTATAAAAAACGAAACGAAATGTAGATCTGTATTTTAATCAGATTGGGAGCTTGCCAAGTTTTTGTTAAGGAAATTTGGCAGTTGACAATGACATCATCGTCTCCAAATTACGTAGGCATACATACACACTGAGCTTTTTAAAGAGGGAAATCTAACACCCTCTTTCACAGAGTAAAAATGCCCTCTTTGACGTCAATTTCCTATGAATTAATAGGATCATACTGTGATTCAATTTCATTGATGCAAAGCATTAATTCCACCCACACCCCCGGTACAAGTCCTCACAAGAACAGTAAATGTGGTCTGCATCTTAGAAAATTTTACACACGGGGCGCCCCAGTAACGGTATAAAGAACAGCGTTTCTTTTTGCCATAGTAGTGTAATTATATATGCGTATTAAAAATGTATATTGAATGATTCGATACTTGTAGAGTAAAGGTACTTAAACATTGATTTATAGAGCAAGAGGTCACGTGTAAACATTGGTAAGCATATACAGTTCACAATTCTATAATGGAATACAATTACTGCTTATTACTGAACAAAGTTTCGACTAGGTTTCTCCAGTCTTTATCATACAATGAAACAATTTGGTAAGCACGTTAAAGAACTCCTGACAGTTGGAAATCAATGAAGTGTAGGTGGAAAGGCCGCTGCCTGGGCAATATTTCCTCGTTGTAGACTGCACGGCAAATGCTCGTATTCATTATCCCTGTTGGTTCAGGAGGTTAAACCCCATACCATTTGATTTCATCAAACTTGAACTGGCAATCAGATAATTCCAGATTTAGTTTGTCTCAATCACTGAGATGTCGATTGAGGATACGAAAATATCAATTGGTTATTTCATCAACCCAATAAACGTGATTGTTGCTAATAAATATACATTTTATTGGGTTTTTTTTTAACAAAACAATATGTTTCATTTCACGTAGTAATTTCGTGTAATTTTACAGTTTTAACAAGACAACAGATGTTCGTGTCATCTGGATTTTCTCCATCAATTATGCACAAAAGATGCCAACGACGCAGAATCCATTTTGTGGAATATTAATGAGAATATATTAATTGGGAGTTTGATAACAATACAGTAGCACGTTATTTTTATTGCGAAGATATTGTTATTGTCACCGAAACATTGTAAACGCTTAACAAGTCTACATGGTATAGTTTTTACATTTAATTATGCACAAAAGGTGACCGACGACGCAGAATGTTTATGAGTTTGTGAATATAATAAAAATCGATGTGGTGATTATTTAGTAAATGGGAATATTAAATTAAGAGTTTGATAACAATGGAGACGGACATTATTCTTTCCGGGGATATTTTCATTTTTACGCTTTACATTACAGGTTATTATATACGCTCACATTTAATCTGGACTAATTATATTGTCCTCACCTGCGTCCATCTGTCTCCCTGTTCTTGGGTCTGCCAAACTTGTGAACGTTCCAAACACTACTACATCCCTTATGCCTTATGTCAGACGGTTATTTTTTGTTTTTTAATTTTCAAATTAGCTATAGGATTGTTCATTTGGTCGTATAGTTGTAGGTTTACTAATCAATTTTATAATTTCTTTAAATCTATTTTAAAGTATTATGATAAAGTCATTGATGACAGTAAGGCTGTGTATTATTTGTTACAGTTATCAATGATAAATAGGGTTTATATCAGAATAAGACAGGTATAATAATATTAATGCACATCTCTTTTATTTTCAGTAAAGCACAGCTACACGACCACCAGAATATAGTTATGGGTGCCCTGACGCGCATACGTAGCGCTTTATTAATTTTGCTGGGTGCCGTCCTGACCATTACATTCCAATACATGTCAAGATCTACTATGGGAATAACTAATGTTTTCATGTCCAAAGAACGTCAAATAAAAACGACAAATTTAACTAATTCGAATGTAGTAACTATGGCTATTCCACTGATTGTTGCAAGTAAATCACAAAAATCTAAAGTAACCACTTCCGCGCGAACAACTGCGGAGATTTTGCGCTGGAATTCTACAAGGTGGTCCGAGTGGAACAATTTCTGTAGTGGCCCTATTCAATTTGATTCAGCGAGTTTACGGACTCCTGCCGGAAGCCTGAACATTTTTATACACGATATTAAAGTTGATCGGTGGGTTTCTGGTTCAATTAAAAAGCATGGTGTATGGGAAAGGGATATAATGAATCTTATACATCATTACTTGGCGAGTGATACAGATTTAAATCTCCTAGATATTGGCTCACACATTGGCCAATTCTCATTATTGGCGGGAAAAATGGGAAGAATGGCGATAGCTGTTGATCCGTTACAAGAGAATGTTTTACGTTTATGTAAATCCATCGAATTAAATAACTATAACTCGTTGGTCAAAGTATTTTATGTAGCTTTGTCCGATTCCAGGAAAAAAGTTACGTTTATAAAAGACCCTGGAAATATCGGTGGGACTAGAGTTCATCCTGTAAATGCATCAAGTGGAACGTCTTTCAATCCAAATATTATTGATACAGTATTTTTAGATGATTTATTACCTTTAATACCATTTAAAAAGGCTTTTATGAAAATGGACGTGGAATCGCACGAAAACAGTGTATTAAAAGGGGGTAATAACTTTTTTGCTACGTTAGACATTCCTTATGTTCTTATGGAGTGGTTTCAACACGTCAAAAATCCTGTATCAGCCATTGAAATTATTAACTTTATGACACTTCACAAGTATAAACCATATTTAGTTAATACTAACTCAAATCCTTTAGATATTAATGATTATAAAAGATGGCCAACAAATGTTTTATGGAAAAAGTAAAGTTATATTTTATTGTTAGTTTGCTTCTTTTATTTATGTTATAAATGAATGTTGATGGCCTTACCTGATATAAGGATATTTTTGCTATGAGTTTGATATGCCAGAGCTTGTACTCATTGTGCTGACATCTTGAATAGGGATAAAAACGTTCTGAGAAAAGAGCAATACACCATCAAAGTTTTAATCTGCACCAATTTAATGTCGAGATATACGATATGGCTATTCTTGCAGATTATTGTCCATGATACCTATTTAGATTAACCTCTTCGGTGTTTTAATGGAGACTGACAAAGCTATGCTATATAATGGAATAGAGAAAACCATTTATAGATTTCAGAAATATATATAGTGTTATGTTTAAAAGGAGGGGGTGGGGCGATAGGCAAATATACTTTTTATACGCCCACATTTTCATGTATATTGTCGTCGCAGCTGTCAGTTCGTCCGTCCGTCCGTGTGTCCGTTCACATTTTATTTGTGAAGACTCTACAGGTCATAATTTTTATGATTTTGACGAAACTTGACATATAGGTTTATCTCCTAAAGATCTCAGTTCCTTTCGATCGGACCGTAACTTCTTGAATTATGGCCCCTGATTGTACGAAAAATCACGTTTTTAGCGTGTGGCCACTCTAGAGGTCCAGATTTTTGTCCGATTTTGATCAAACTTGAAAAATATTGTGTTTATAACCCAAAGATTTCGATTCTTTTCGATATTGGCGTCTATCGGACCGTAACTTCCTAGATTATGGTTGATTTCAAATTTCATAAAGATCTCGGCTCCTTTCGATATTTGTGCATATCAGATTATAACTTCCTGGATTATTAGAGGTCACAATTTTTATCCGATTTTAAAAACCGTTTAAATACATCACCGTTGCACCATAATGGAGGTTAAGTTCAAATTTCGGGAAATGGAAACGAAAATTACTTCTCCTAGTACGCAAATTGTGTGTTTTAGGCCCTCTAGAGGTCACAATTTTTTTTCGGATTCTGATGCAACTTAAAATATATCTTTATATCCCAAAGATCCCAGTCCCTTTCGATATTCACTCATTTCAGACTTTAACTTCGTGGATTATGGTTTCTGATTGTTCGAAAAATCACGGATTTTTTTTAGCTTTTTCTCTATCCACCTCTTGCAAAATGTGGCCGTATCTTGCCTGGCAACCGCTGGTTGAGTCTGATGGATTCTGGGGCTTTTCACTGGGCAGACCGGGCATATTCAGTGAAGTGCTTGGTAAATTACACAACAAAATGTCTTTTGAATGTGGGTCCAGATAACGCAGATGAAATAAGGGATAAAACTGTGAGTAACTTGGTGAGTATGACATTATTAAAGTCAGATTATAATGACGTTGCATTAAAACTAAGAGGTTGCGATAAAAGCAAGGGGATGTGTTGTATTAAAAATAAATGGTTGTAATAAAACCAAGAGGATATGTTGTAGTAAAACTAAACGGCCATATTGGAATTCATCTTAAATTATTTTCGATTTGACAGGATTTCATAACATAGTTACATGTTTTAAATATATATATTATTTAAACGTAAGTAGGCCTATATATTCATTTTTATGGTAAGAGTGATATTGACTCTTTAAACTGAAATCCCATTTTGGTAATGTGGTGTAATTGATTAGCTCACGTGCACACAGGTATTATTAGTCATCTATTCATTGTGTTAAGGTAAATATACACATCTCCACAGTGAATCATAACTTAGTATAAATAAAGGTATAAATCTCAATACTATAAGCCGTTGACACAGTCCTCAATATTTACACAACAGTGAGTAAGAAAACGACAAATGGGAAACCAAACAAGGTATAATGCCCCGTTTCAGTCAATAAATGAGTACTACACCATGACAATAAAAAACCATTATCATTTTAGATCAATGATCAAGAATTGTATTTGATCAAAGCTCTTCGAATCAAACAATTTTCAAATCAGAAAGGATACCCTACTAAGAACAGCACTGTATACTGGTTGTCTTTTTATTAAACACGTATGAATCTCTGGGATAGGGGATCACGTGGCTAAGTGGGTAAGACGCTAGCTTGCTAGCCTGGAGGTCGGGTGTTCGATCCCTGCATTGGCCGAGAAAGTTCATCCAGATTTACCGGCGTGGTTCTCCCTTGTCAGTGATGCAGGACGGAGGGGCTGACAAGGAAAGCTGTCTAGTCGTTCGGATGGGACGAAAAACCGAGGTCCCCTGTACACATTGGCGTGCACGTAAAAGATCCCTTGGCAGTTGGAATTCGATATAAGAGTAGGCCGTAGTGCCGCTGTCCGGGCAAAATTTCCCTCATAGCACACTGTATGGCGTATGCCCGTCTTCATTAGCCCAGGTTAGGAGCAGAACAGTAGGACGTTAAACTCCATTTCATTTCATTTCATTTTATCTCTGGGATAGATCGACATAGAGACCGTATATATATAGCACGCAACATGAATAATATGAATATACCCGATCTAGATGTACAGTTATTTTCCATCGAACTTAATTACATCATCTACTCGTCACAAAACCTATTTCTATCTAATAATATGATAGTTCTATGGACATGGACAATAAAATTATAGAGATAAAGTCCATGATCCCACAATATATTAGTTAATATTTACAAACACAATTTAAATATCAGACTGTCTTCCCCGTACAACGTAACCGCGTTATGTTATGGATCAAAAGATCTTGTAGGAGTTGAATTTTGGAGTTATGTTGTAAGTTTGTAGACCCCCCAGTGGCTACAATTTTAATCCGATTCAGATGAACCTTAACAAATGTGTTAAAGATCAAAAGATCTTGAATGATGATATATAGTGCGCATCAAAACCCAACTTAATTCTTGTTTAATACAGCCTGGGTTATTTATCATCAGCTTTATTCATTTTCATTTTCAATTAAGAACGCATCTGTAACTTTCGTGATTATAAAGAGAAATCAAGACTGTTTCCATCTTTTAACCAAAGTACAATAAAAACAAACTCAAATCAAAAGTAGAGCACGCGAAATCAATGTGCTGCTTAGTTACGGTACATAAGACCAAATGTTTTACAGCATCGGTTTAGTATTGTATCCAATATAATGGGAGTCTAGAATTGTTCTACTTCTTTGTTTATATTTTTCTGCAACCCACAGACTGTTAAAATCAATATTCACGAATATTACTTTCGTTTTATTTATAGTAATACATGAGTTATCTACCTTTGCATATAAAAAAAACAATTTTAAATCCATAGGTATTGCGCGATAAATTCCATTTATTTCCAGCGCATTGGGTTGTTTTTCGAATGTTGTATGGATCACCCAGTTCAACCACACCTCTGAGTTATGCGTCCATATGGTGTGTGTATATAAGTAGAGATTGGAATTTAGACATTTGGGGCGCGCCACTGGGGGGTCTCTGAGAACAAGAGAGAGAGAGAGAGAGAGAGAGAAAGAAAGAGAGAGAGAGAGAGATGGGGTTTAGCGTCCACTTGACACAAACTAGGTCATTTTGGGACTAACATATTGTTTAATTTTATTTCAATAATTCGCTTGCGCTCAGGGGTTTTTAGCAGTGGGGGAAAACCAGAGGACCCGGAGAAAACCCACGAGGTTGGACAGGCAACCCGTGACAATAAGAGGGGTAAGCAGTCTACAATCGTGAAATCGAACTGTCTTTGAATTTATTGATTTTCTATCAAACGGATTAAAATTAGATTATTTCAAAAGTTATCAGCGATAATCAATAGCGCATGGAACAATTATTATGTACAAGTTATACAATGAAATTAATGGGGCGTAGCATAGATGTATAGCCTACCAGAAATGTATCATACGTCACTATTTTATTTAAAAGAGAAAAATAACGGCACATTAAAATCGTATAGGTTGGTGGCTTTAAACAAAATCAATACAGTATGACGTGATTTTATCTTTATTTTGTCGTACATTAATTACATGACAGCTGACACGTTTACTTATATAGACCATTGATGTAATCTTCGGGCAGTAGGAATTATCATCCTTGCACAAATTACAATTAGCCTGAAAAAGATTATTTTCAAAAATCTGTAATTCCAATACGAATCTTTAGCCAATTTAAACTTTTAAAATAATTATAATTTTCATTTGAATTGAATTTTAAAATGTTTTAAAGTTTGGTGAACAATGTTCAAGGTCAGGTTGGTATCTGAAATTTTATTTGTTATTGATACTTTAGCAGTTGTTGGTATATTTCCCAGTAATCTTACCTATCATTGTACATATACCACACGACTTCATACAATTCTTCGTCAGGTACCATTTATATTTTTCATGTTGACAGTAGCCTTGTCGTGTCCAATACGTACAATGTTCGTCATTGTTCTCACACTTTTCAACTATTTATATTAAAGATACATTATTTAAGAGCTAAATTTGCCTATTGCAGGTCTTTCTTTAGGCCTTAAATGTTACATAACTTATTTTAATTAGACATTTATTAACAAGGCAACATCATAATTAACTAGAAATTTTAACTAGATTAGAACGGTTCGGCCACTTAATGATTTTAAAATAATGGAGAAGCGAGGCTAAGTCTCGAATATACCAGTACCGTAATTACGATAATAAACAATCAATGCACATATATTGTCAAAACTACAAACAGTGATAACTTAGCTCAGAATAAAGTAATTTGAATAAAATTTTCAAAATATTCATTTTGCATTATCTAATTTTGAACTATTATTAGCAAGAACGGTAATCTCTTACATGAATCATCTTTAATAACATAATGCATCTTTAATAAACAGGTGCATAAATTACATTTAAATCTTAAAATTGTATTTTGATTAGATCTGTGATTTGATTGATTTTGAAATATAATCAATCATCATAGTGATAATGCAAAAGTACAAAACGTGTCTATTTATTCATTTATTTATTTGATAAATATGAAAAGACGTATTACCTGGAGGAAGTGGTGGTGTGATCACTCCAGAACAAAAATCACAGGATTTTATACAGTAAACACTCATATAATTATAGTATGATTTACAGTAATTATTCTTGGCCCATGTAGGACATCGCTGATTCTTATCTCGACATTCACCTTTAATTATAACACAGTATCACACACTATATTCGTAATACATAATACACTATCTTAAGACATTATTATGCACTATATTCGTAACACATAATACACAATATAATACATTTTATCACCCAATAACACATTCCAGGCCCGTATCTAGCCCATAAAATATTGGCGGGGGGGGGGGTTGTAGCCGATGGGGCTTCTGGAGGCGCCGATGTACTTACGTCTTGACGGTCCACGGCAAACGGCACCGGGTCTAAAGTGATTTCCCAGAAAATTTTAAAAAATAGGGTTTGCACCCGAGGAGAAGCATCTATAAAAATGATGGAAAATTTCAATTTTGGGGCTGAATTTGCATATTTTCGTATTATGATATTCTGATATGATCATTATTAAAATTTGAAGGAAGGAATACGACTTTAGCGTACCTATAATATTTGATGAGAAAAACGAATTATCACGCATGGCGCGGGCTTGAATCAATCTCATCGCCATCGGGACTTTGACCTGGAAAATTTCCTACAATCTCCAGTTGGCTTTCTTATGGCATTATGGGCGCCCCTCAGTGATGAGGCATCCCACCAATCATGCTGATTTGTGCAGGCCATTGATCAAGTCGTGGACACCCAACCAACCTCACATTATGCATTATGTGCGGCCCGACAATCATATATTGCCATTATAATGCCCCCCACCAATCATGTCATAATGAGCGCCCCTCCGAGATAAGGCACCTACAGATCAGGTGTTTTGGGCGCCCCATCAATCAAGTTGTGGTGTTAATCGTGTGATTCATTATGAGGCGCCCAGCCAATGTCACTCGACTTTATGGGGCGCCCATACTGATATGGACACGTTGGTCGTTGGCGTCGTGTGGAAAGGGCGCCTTCGCTTTACATGAATTTGATTGGTCAATTAAAAAGGAACTACATTTTTTATTACCATAAACAATTACAATACTTCTCCTCATAACCTTAAAGAAAACACCGGACTTTCCAACGGGTGACTTGCTGTCAAAAAACGATGTATCAGTACGCCGTAATTTAATCCGGTACAGTAAAATATATACCAAAGAATTATATTTATTTATTTGTGCGCGTAAGAAAGGGTTGGGTGATAAATAAAATCTCCTACTGGTCTTTTTTAATAGCCTCGTGTTTTTTTATTTGTGTTGATATTTTTTGACATAAAAAAAGACGAGCAGAAGAAGATTCTTTATATATAAAAGTCTTCTCACTGGGTCCGTAAATATTGAAGGCAAGAAATACATTCTATACGATGCTCGTTTCCTTTTGATTTTCTCCCATATCAACTGCGTACAGCCAACAATTTTTTACTTGCCTGATCCCCGGGATCTTTTCACCACATAATTACCACGTGGTGAGGGGATAATTCCATGGTTGTAACTGAAAATGCGGGAGGGGGGGGGGGTAACTTTGGACAGAGAAAGATTAAATAAAAGGATATATTATGTAAAAACATTGCATTACCAATTGTTGTTGCTGTGGTCGGGCGTCTTGTGGTTGTGGTCGGTCGTCGGGTGGTTGTAGTGGTACGTCTTGTAGTTGTTGTTGGTTGTGTGTTTATAAAGTTACATAGTTTAAATGGAGAACCAGGACACCAACATCTACAATCTTTACCAATAAAACCTTCTCCAGGACAATCATTATCAGTATATCTACACCAACCTTATAAAATAATTACATCCAATTTGTAGTTTTATCTTTATGAAATATATTCAAATCTTTACTTGATTTTATCAGAATATTGCCAACCTGACATTGATAGTAAAATATTGTTATAAAATTTAAATAACCACATCAACCAATCACTGTCGATTCTGAGTTACCCCATTAACCTTTTGTGAAAACGCGATAGAGGCTACAGTTTGTAATATACCTTTTCAAATTTTGTTTGAAGAATTGGGGTCGTACATCTGAAACGCTGACATCAGGGGGCGTACATCTGCAACGCTGACTATCGATGGGAAGCTACATTTTTTGGAGGATTTCTTTCAAATTTGGTATGAAGCGTGCTGTGGGAATTATATATTAAGCTATTGATTTTTAAAATTGGTGAAGCTTTGGTGTCCTGAGAGATAATATTTAGTGTTCCGCGAACGTTCCTTCCGGGGTAGAGGCCAAGGTCTTTAAAAGATGTCATTTCAAATTTAGTGTGAAAATATCGTGCGGAGTTACGTACCCAATCCTTCCAATTCCGAAGCTAAGTTTTTATCGGTTTTATTTTTTTTTTTCAAAATTGGTATGAAGCCTTACCGTTAGCATTCATTGGCTTTCCGTTCCGCAGTTAGACCCCCTTTCCGAAAACTTTGGGCCGTAATATGGAACACTATCGAAATTCAATATTTAAAGGGCCATAAGGGAAGATCAGATAAAGAGTTGACAGTTCTCGCTATAATAGTTAAAAACAGATAACGTAAATAGAACATACTGAAAATTTCAGTCAAATTGCAAATTGCAAAACTCTGAACCGAGAAATTAGCTTTCGAATTTTAGAATAGACTCGATCATCATTACTAAAGTCGGTACGATACAAAAACAAAGTCTCGATTATCCAATCTTTCGTTTAATTATGTTTCAAAAAATATATTCCAATCCGTTAAACATCGCGGGCTAGCGATGGCATCGAGGGTTGATTATGGTCTGGATAATTTAATTAATTTAGATAACATTTCAAGCCTAACAAAAGACCTGCATAAGACAGATTTAGCTCTTGCATAATGTATGTTTTAGGATCACAAATTACGAACAAAAAAATTGACATTAAAAGCTTTACAATTAGTCTAAATACGATTGGTATGGGAAAGAACCCGATGGGGTAATGCTTTATGAACCCAATGACGTAGGTTTCCTATCTATCCTTTAAGTAATTTCAACCTTGTATGGTATTTCGGCGTCAATAAAAAAGCAAATTTTGGAAGGAAAGTTTAGAGTTTTCGGCAATTTGATGTTGGAGAAACTGGGGTTAAAATGAACCCATTACCAGTTATTGCCGTGATCAGACGTGAAATAAAGTAACACATTATGTTTCGTAAAATTGACCAGGGACACTTCTGGACACGGCTATAATACATTGTATTTAGTAAAGGGGTTAAATCGTACCTTTAAGTCAATATTCTGTATTGCTCTATAACTGACTGAAGAGGTTGTCGTTTATTTAAGTATTTTAGCACGCCATACTACAAAGCATCATTGATTGCTTTTTTACATCGGTTTTACTAAGGGTTGAAGTTAATGGGTCCTTGTGTATAGAAAATACTTATGATTTGATTACATACTTGGTTTACATTCGTACATGGAATTAGCTGTCTTGATGTCTCTGAAACTCAAATGCTGGTAACTACCAATTCTATTTTGATAAGACGAATCTTTCGTTGCTACGGTAACTCCGCCATTTTTAGAGAAAGCCTTTAAAACATATTAATAGTTTTTAAAAAATAATAAACATTATATTCTTGAATGGTCTAATTAAAACATTATCTATATAGTTTTTAAAAAATAATAAACATTATATTCTTGAATGATCTAATTAAAACATTATCTGAGTTCAGATGCTATTCGTTCTTACCCTTTTTCCGTAATGCATTATACTGGTGTAGTCGTAAGGTACACCATGACTGTTGATACTGGACCAAGTGTATTTCTTAAAGTTATACATCATACTAGACTGTAAGTTCTGTTCTAAAATATACACAAACTCATCTCTATCAGGTCGGGTGTGTTCGTGAAAAAATCCAATCGCATGGCCTATTTCATGGAGAATGACCGATGTCTGAAATTAGAAATAAAGCGAAATAGGCAGTCTGTCTTTAACATCAATGGTTCAGCAGAGTGTATCCCTGCGCAAGTGATGTCATTCTGGACAATAGTACGTGACCAAGCCATTGAATACAACCATAGGTTATTCAATGGCTGTATTCAATGATATTTGCGTGTATTTGCATGTAATTATAGAATAAATAGCCTTAACTTATAGTAATTAAAAGAATCTTCATAACTTCTATTAGTACCACTACAAGTGATATACTTGATGTATGTACAGCCAGAAGAAGCGGGGTATGCAGGATTTCTGAAGCTTTTTTGAATTCCTTAAACTGTGAACTTGCAGCTAGAAAGTAAACATCTGTATCCAGGCGCTAGTTTAATAGGTTATGAACTAAAACATCTACGGTTGTAATGTATTGCCTAACTTATATATATCTACATCTAATAGCCAGCCTCATAAACACATAACCATCTAGAAACTAACTTTATAAACGACGAACATGCATATAATATCTATCTACAGCTCGAAGCTAGCTTTATAAACATATGGACATCTAGAACCTAGCTTTATAACTACATCTAGAACCTGGCTTTATAAACGGTTAAACGGTGAACAACCATATTACATCTACAACCAAGCTTTATAAACGATGTCCATAAATATCTACAATATAGAACTTAGCTTAATAAAAATTTTAACATAACATCTATATGTAGAACCTAGCTTTGTAAATTATGCCCATACATATCTACAGCTAGAACCTAACCTAAATAAATATTTGAAAATAAATATCTACATAGAACCCAGCTTTATAAACGATCCCCATACATATCTACAGCTAGAACCTAGCATTATAAACATTTGAACATAAATATCTACATCTAGAACCCAGCTTTATAAACGATGACCATGCATATCCACAGCTGGAACATAGTATTATAAATATCTACATCTAGAACCCAGCTTTATAAACGATCCCCGTGCATATCTACATATAGAACCCGACTTTATAAACGATAAACATACATATCTACATCTAGAACCTAGCTTTATAAACACATGAACATAAATATCTACAGGATTAAAAGGGTAAACTTACATATCTACAGTTCGGGGCCAGGTTTATAAACTGTGTTGCATATCCTCTTTTCATCCCAATATAAGACCAGCAGCTAAAAATATTTTTGCAAAATGTAAATAATTGTGTATACTTAATCGGAAGTAGAACGATTCAGATAAAAGGGAAGAGTATTGAAATTAATCTATTTTGTAAATTAAAAATTGTCAAAATACTGAAATTATGAATATAAAATCTTCAAAGTTCAAATATCTGTTCTTTTTTTATTTTTTCAACAATAACGTAAAATGGCATCAATGTGTTAAAAGGGAATATATTGTGGCTTGTTTGCTTAGAACAGTTTTGATTTCAACCCCATCTTCATTAGCCCAGTCTGAGCAGAACAGTAGGACGTTAAACCTCATTTTGTTGATTTCAACCCTTTCACCCTTTCACTAAATATTCACTAATCTAATCTGTATCAATTGTATTTACCCGTTTCCATTTTGAAAAACGATTTTCCTCTGTTCATTGTTGTTGACTTTTCTAAATTTAATACAGGTATACTTTTCCCATTCATCAATAGCTTCCTCTATATATCTTTCTTGCGAATAACCTGGAAATAATGAAATGGGGTTTAACGTCCTACTGTTCTGCTCCCTCTTGGCTAATGAAGACGAGCATATGCCATACAGTGTGCTATGAGGGAAATTTTGGCTGGGCAGCGGCACTATGGCCTACTCTTGTATCGAATTCCAACTGCCAAGGGATTTTTTTACGTGCACGCCAATGTATACACGGATCCTCGGTTTTCGTTCCATCCGAACGACTAAACAGCTGTCCTTGTCAGGCCCTCCGTCCTGCACCACTGACAAGGGGAAACCACGTCGGAAAATCCTGATGAACTTTCACTGTAAATAATAAACTGGATGAAAGAAATATGATTTACGACACTAGGTCGAAGTTTAGTTTAATTAGAACTACGTGATATTTAATAAAGGACATACTAAAAGTATTTGAAGCCAGTGTATAAGGTATAATAGAATCTGGCCACAGCAGTCCACCATATGTTTCTCGTACAGCTTTCCTCTTGATTCTTTTACTAGATATTGTATTATCATTATCTTCCCTGTAAAGAAAATTAATCTCAAAGTAAGAACTCGTAAAAGATCTTCAGAACATGGTCCACAATAATTCAGATTTGAATTAGAAGTAATGTTCTGATAAGCTGCGATGTCGATGTTAAACCACAAATGCCGGCAATCTGTAGTGTGGAAGTAATCATTGAATATTGAAAAAAAGGATTTAATGCGTACTTTATATCATAGATCCTTTCATAATCATCAACACTCATAACCATATCCAGTTCTACCAATACTTCACTCTTTCTTCCATCAACAACAGGCTCATCAGCTGTATTAAAATAATTATATACTTTATTCTCTTGAATTTGTTTGTATTCAAAGATGCATTATGTAAGAGACATATCTGGTTATTGCAGGTCTTTCTTTTGGCTTCAAATGTTTTATATAATCAACTCTCTAGATCATCGAATGGCCGAAATTTAATGGATTTGAACAAGCGCGAGATTTCAAAATTTAACTATAAAAAGGAGTCTTAGTCTCGGTTGTCAAGTACGTTGCTACAATAATAAAGGATCTAGGCCAAATCTTCATCCAAAATATGCCTATAAAATGATGATTTTGTTTTTACCTTGCATGGATGCTGCTTGTATAATTTCATCTATGCTTTTCGCTTCCGGTTCATCTACAGATTTTACCCCAGTCACCCGCTGCAACTGTAATGTTACCAATAATTTATCATATATTAAATATAATCATTTTGGGTTTCGACACAGAATTTGGCATACCTAGAAATTAACCACAAAAAAAGAAAATCGGAAAGGAATAAAGGTGGTGACAACTAAATAACATCCGACAGGTCGGCATAGAGTGGGATTTCGGTTGAGAAACCATTGGACAGTTTTGAAGCTGCTTAACTCGCGGGCTCGAATAGAAGAAAAACGCAATTAGTACAAAGCAATTATTGAAAAGATGTGGAGCCATCTTCGAGCCAACGAACTAACGGAATGAACAAAAAAATGAAGAAAAAGACTAATAAAAAAAGTGAAGAAAAAATTGAAGAAAAAACTAAATAAAAAAAGATCTATTTGAATAAGGATTAATGTAATAAGGATTAATGTATGTTATTAATAATTTTATTCTTGTAAATTGTTGATGTAATAAATTCTTTTATAAATTGTTGATTTAATATAAATTAATTCAATAAATAATGATAAATAAAAAAAACAATAAATTGAGTATTTTATTGGTCTAAGTGGTATTTTATTTCGGCCCACGTATTGAAGCAAACACGACTATAGTGAGATGAGTGGTCTTCTAAACTCCGGATGAGTGATCTTCTAAACTTGGGATGACGGTCTTCTAAACTTGGGATGAGTTGTCTTAGGATGAGTTGTCTTTGGGATGTGTTGTCATACATTCACAATGGACACGTGCTTTTTTGTTTAAGGGATAGACATATTTTTCACCAAATATTAAAAAAGAATAGTTAAAATAAAGTACATGTATATAAATAAATGTTGTAGATTGAAGGTGACATTATTAGAAAACTGGATGCTGTTAGTTTTGAACTTTACAGGATTCGATAATCCAATCAATCACTGGCTTACTTAGAGAGAGGCAGTATTCGTGACTTTTTATTTAACTCTTTGAAATTCACTATTGTAAAACAAATGATTTGAAGTTAAAATGCCATAGCCATAGCTTCCAATACAGTTTCAACATCTCCAATAATAACTGAATAGTCAAATCACGTAAAATTGAATTTATTTTTTCCAGCCAGCCAAGACGTCCAAAGCGCTAACGTCTCTTTAAACAAGATGAGAGCTGGAGAAGCAAATATTTCGACCAAGGGAACGCGGAAGTACAGTACGTACAAATAAATCTTAATTACGTATTTTACTTTTCCTTTTATTGATGAACACGACAAAGGATGAAAAGGTGGCCTTTAGGTACTGGATACAACTTGTCAATGAACGTATTAAAATATTTATGTTTTTCTCTACATCTATTGTGTTTATATAGAGACAATTACTTGTATACCTATGTCCAAACTAAATCAAACCCGGAACTTCCAAAGAAAAGATCACATTGAACACGCAATCATCCTATGAGATTTCTCGAATTATTGCCATTTTCCATGACTTAAAAAGTTAATTTACACTTTTTAAGAAAACGTCGTAAAGACATTAAAAGCAATAAATATTATATGATTAAAGAAACAATTGTAAAATGTTTAAAGGGGCTAAATCGCTATATTTTGGCACCTAGAAATGAACACAAATGGGTCGCAACGCATATAATACTGTAATATCAATGTATATAAATTGATTTACATTCAGTGGTTTCGGTTTTTACTGTAATTTCTAATCTGTTATATTCCACGAAATACGCGAAGAGTCCAAATTGAATGGCAGTCTTCGGTGTCTGGTTATTCTAGTCTACACTGGTAGTATTCTCCTGTGGGATATGTTTAGCCTCGTTCATCGAGTCGCTCAATTACAAATGGCACTCGAAAGCATTCTGGCACGCGTTTCGTGTGCCAATTTTAAAATTTTCATTTTATCTTAAATTATTGGATATTAGAAGCCCATCTTTTCACGCTAAGATAACACCATCAATGTTGAGTTACATTGACCAATAAGACTTGCCCCCTTTAAGGATAGTGAAACACAGAGGATATCTGGTCCTGGATTTTAGAGTCACCAGTTCAGTGGTTGAAAAACAGGGCACAACGTTTCCTCGACACTAGAGTCTCCGTAAATAATTCGTTCATCTTAAGAGAAGGGAACGAAAAGATATACTGAGCTGTGATTGGTGCGCCTTGGTTATAGGCGCATGTAATCCAATACCTATACAATTGGTATTGGAGAAGAGTCAATTTAAGTCAGGCTGCAACTTTGTGGTGTACAACTCTGTGGACACCAGTTGATATTATAGAAAATTAAAGACAAAGAGACACATACTCACACATTCAATTTAAAACGCACAAACAAATTTTTTTTTTATCAAACTATGACTGTGGTACATATTATTATATTATGGTTTCTCACGTCAGACAAATGAAGTTAGTAAAGTTTATTAAGCAGGTACATGCTGTTAGTGGGGCATTTTAGAGAGAAAGATACCCCGTTCTCTGAGTGAGAAAACAACTGGTTTTATCCCGGCAAAGTAGCTTGTTTTAGTGGAAAAAATAAACAATTGCTTTTAGTCAGAAAAGCAAAGACAAAAGAACAAAAAATGAAAACCTGTCAACATTCGACATCCACTGCAGACGATATAGGATGCGGTCAAAACCAGCCAGTGCCACTTATAACTTCCGTTGTAATCCGATTCAATCTAAGATGGGAGATTATCTGTAGCTGACATTTTGATTTTGTAAGATTTAGATAATAGAAAACGGAAAAAATGTTGAAAATTTCAGTCAAATTACTTCATTCTGAACTGAACAGTGTAGTCTTGGTTGTCATTAATACAGTTCTTACGATAATAAACAAAGTCTCGATTATCCACTTTTTAATTAAATTATTAACTTGCAATCGTGTTAAAATCCGTTGAAAATCCAAAACATCGATGTCCTAGAGAGTTGGTTATTGGGTTGGCATGTGAATAAATGCCAAAAAGAAAGATCTGCAATAGGCCGATTTAGCTTTTAAATATTGTCCGAAAACTGTAAATTTTGATAAAGTCTAAACATGCATTATGCAAGAGCTAAATCTGCATATTGCAGGTCTTTCTTTAGGCTTTAAATGTATTAATTAGACATTAATTAACTTATCAAGACCATATTCAACTCTCGATGCCATCGATAGCCTTCGATATTGAGTAGATTTGAATACGTTTTGTTGTGGATGAAATAACCGTAAAAACGGTAAAAACGAATAATCGAGACTTTGTTTATTATCGTAAAACGGTTGTAATGACGATCGAGGCTAGACTAAAATTGAATCGCTAATATCTAGGTTCAGGGTGAAGCAATTTGACTGAAATTTTCAGCATATTCTCCTTTCATTATCTATATCTTATCTAATCTTACATAATGCCCCTTTAACATAGACGAAATATTTTTAGCTTAGTTATTCGTTTAGAAATATCTATAAATTGAGAATATAATTGAAATACGGGTTAAATCATCTAAGTTATTTTAATTTTATGATGATAAATATTGATAAATCGAGATATAAAAAAAAATCTTACCGCTAAAATAATAAGGAGACATGCTGAGAGATATGTTGATAACATCTTTACCTGAACTGTTCGAAGGGCGATATAAATGCTAAGGAGGGCTAACTTACCTTTTTTGCGATGTAACTTTTATTTATATGAAAAGAATGGCGAATAAAGTCATTACTAGGAAAGACAAGAACATCACAGAAACCGGGCTAAAAGGCTAGTAAACAGAAAGAAAAACCCTTTGTTAATAAGTGGACTTACAATGAAATTCAAATTCAAGCCTTGTGACCCTTTGTGTAATTAAGGATTTGTACAATGCCTACAGACTAATTCTTAAACCCACAAGTAAATATTCTTCTCTTATTTTATTTCTTACACTAAACGCTTAAAAGCGTAATCTAAAGACACTCAAGACAAGGAAATGAATACCATATTTTTAATCATACTAACTCCGCAATTTCTTATATCATCAATGCATCTGAATAGCGTATTTCTGTTTTTAATCCATAGGTCTACACCGATATAATGACACGGTCAGGGAAATTCTATACACAAGGGTTGTTTAGTTGAAGGACTTAAAGAGTCCCATCCTTGATTTCGCCCAATCCCAAGAATGCTTTGGTCAATTGTTAGACTATAGAATAATAATGAATGCTATATTATATTTATAAAATGTCAAAAATACAATTATCTTGTCACACGTTGTCAGTGTCAGATTCTTGGAATTCGTGTACCTTAAAAATGTGGGCCTCGACACCAGTGTACACGATAGATATGTTTATCAAAATCAACGAACTAATCAAAATAAATTGACCTCTGTCTTATCGTAATTTGTGATTAAAACCACGTAACGTGACACTTCTGATTGTAGTAGTCAACATGGCGTCTATACCTACGTCTCTTCTAGTTCTTGTGTTCGTTGTTTCATTACGATTCCTTGAAGCAGCTCATTGCTCTGGTTCCGTAAGTTAATTTATTGTAACTGGGTACATCTGGCAATCATCAAATTGTATGTTCTTAACAAATCTAAACCAAACCAAACCAAACATTCCATCATTAAAGTCAAGGAAAGGCTAGAGACAATAGCAGCATACCATTTATTTATTTGGTCAGAATCTGCTGTATTGAGTTCAATCCCTTTCTTTCAAATAACAAACTGTGAACATTTCGACTAATTAGAATTAATTAAAGATACATTATGGGAGATTAGATAAAGAGTTGGCAGTTCTCACTATAATAGTTAAAAACTAGATAGTGTAAAGGGGATTTGCTTAAAATTTCAGTCAAATTGATCCACTCTGAACCGAGAATTTAACGACTGAATATTGGGCCTAGCCTCGATCATCATTACTAAAGTTGCCACGAACGGCTGTTTTAAAACCACTAGCCAAACAGGAATTATTGTTGATGATCAAATTTTTACAATAATTATTACGTTATATACTGTTATTTTGGTTCAAACAGATTGTATACATTGTAAAGTCGTTTTTTTTTCTTATTTATAAAAGCCACCAACAGGCACCCAGAATTTGAATGCTATCGACGAGGGTTTACCTAAATATGTTAGATCTGTATCGAATGGTAAACTGTATGAAGTAGGAAGTGGTGAAGATGTTTTTAAAATTGTTCATGTCTGGGGTAAGTTCAATCATATAATATTTGCTGTTACTTAAACATCAACCAGAACCTTCTTAGAAAAAAGCCAAAACGGCTTCTAATCTGACAAAACAGCAGAATAGTAATTCACCTGTCAACCATAAAACTGTGGCAGTTCCAGATCCTAGAAATACATACCCTGGAATGAATAAATGAATAAAATTCGCAAAATCTCCCTTCTTCAGGAACTCCTTACGAGATGGGCTATGCCCAGGGTAGCTTGGTTAAAAATGAAACCCAACAAATGGTGGCTGCTGTATGGAAATATATGGAAGATCAAATCGTAAGTTTAAAAAAATAACATAGCTTTAATATATTATATACCCCATTTCTTTATTTACTGTTACAGTACAACCCATAAAGCTCGGATATTCACTCTTCAGAAGAATCTACTAATATATTTTGTATCCTCGAAGTATAACAAAAAGAAATCGGTGGGAGCTACAATACCGGTTATATTTGAAACGTTTGGTGAATTTAATGGTGTATAATTTAACTATTATTGTAAAATACATTATCGATTTTATTTTAGGCTGTACCAATTAATAACACTATTCATTTCCGAAACTGGTTTCTGTATGACGTTGCTAATTTGGGGTAAGTTAAATAAAGTGCATGAAAAGGTATATGTTTGGCATTTAATCGTTCCTGGACTAATTTAGAATTAGTCCTATTATCATTTAAAATTTGATGTTAAATCGTTGTATCTTTATTACAGCCTAGACTTGGCTCTAGATTTGGAACATTTACTGACTAAACGATTTACAAACCCAGCATTCTTTGATGAAATTCGGGGTATGGCTGAAGCTGCTGGTGTTGATGAAAAGGTCGGTTTTAAACTTTGCTGCGGGATAGATTGCTCGTCTGTCTTTTTAGGATCATTGTTGGGTACTTTCTTTGTGTAACATTAATTTATGGCATTTTACCTTTTTATCTATGTTTTGTAAATAGAATGACCAATGAGAATTAATTGTACAAATAAAAGACGACCCACAAAAAACTTTAAAATCACCATAGAAGGAACTATAAGAGAAAGTTATGTTAAACCTACTTAATTCATATCTCTAAAAGTTAGTAAACATTATTTAAAAGAAAGTAAACTTATTTTGTTACAGAAGCTAATAAGAATCCACTTAATAGGGGAATTAACGTAAGTAAATAATGAATAAGTTTGTATTTTTTAATATAAAGCCTCTACGAATACATGTACTTTTCTACATCTTAACAGATAGATATCTTTAAGAGTATAAAACGGGAATATAACATGTAGGCGATTATTCTACACTATAAAAAAGGGAATTATAATATGTAGGCGATTATTCTACACCGAAGTTGTTATTATCATATACATTTAAGACGAATTAGGCAAACCCGAGCACCAAAAACAAAATACACCAAGAATCGACTGGCTTGAATGGAAATATCATCAAAATCACCATTACTTTATTAAGCGGAACCTCAGATGCAAAAGATGGGCAACATGAAATCAGTAGAAACTGACTTAAGTCAGAATTTTTACCGTTTTGAAAATATTTTGGACTTTACATGTATTGATTTGTGTTTTAAAGGAAAGGATCATGTTCAATGTTAGGTGCCTGGGGTAACAGTTTAGAGGCAGCAAATTCTTTACTACAATTACGTGCCCTAGATTGGGCAGTTGACGGTAATGTACTTAATTGTTTTAATGATTTACAAGTTGGAAAGGTATAGGGTGGCTGGGAAAGGACATCCAATGATTTTAATTTTTCAAAATTATCTCGATCGATCGACTTAGTATCTCGATGGATCGACTTATTATCTCGATGGATCGACTTATTATCTCGATCGATCGACTTTCTATAACGAGGCTAAACAGGAAGTGTGTGTCCGACAGATCACGCTGCACTGTCTCCATCAAATCTCGGATCATGCCAAAGTGTGCGTGACTGGATGAGAGACAGATCGAGCTAAACGATTCCCTGCATTCTGAATGCTTCGCTACCTTCGAGGGAATCGGAGTTCATTTTATAAACGTTTTAGTCCCTGATTTATTGCGTAGACATATATTAATTGTATTTTTTTTTTTTGATTATTGTTCTTGAAGTGGTCGATTGTCACCTTACCAGATGTCTCCATTCTATAATATAGCCATGTTTTAAGTATTAAATAATATATGACTGATATTGGTCGGATATATAATCCAACCAAACCCGTTAATGTCAAGATAAAACCAAATATCTAATCATACCCTTATCACATTCATTATATTTTAGGACCCTTTAAAGATTTCCCCCAGGTGACAGTTTATCATCCAGTTAATTCAACCTATGGTATACCGTTTGCTAATTTTGGTTGGACAGCATGGATTGGTTCTATTACGGGTAATCAACTTTCTCATTAATACCAGTGAACATTAAACAAATATATACTTGTTATGTTTACAATAAATATGTAAGATTCATCCAAATTCTTCATATTTGATATTTAAATTTCCCAAGAGAGTTTCAGAACTCGTAAAATGGAAAAATGTCTTCATTATATGTTTCTAGGAATGAATTCTGAAAGAATGGCGATATCTGAAATTGGTGTTTCATTCCCGGATGACACTTTTGGTAAAGAATCAAGAGTTGGGGTTCCTTTCACTGTAAGTTATATATATCATTTACAATATTCCCACGTAAATATTTCGCAACATTTTCTGTGTAACCCTCCAAAGATCCAATTTTGCAATATGTTTTCCCCTGATTAGTGATGCTTGATTGAATCCCGTGTGCACGTTTGCGTGCACCTAAAAGCATCTTTGACTGTTGGAATTCGATGTGAAGTCGGGGAAAGCCGCTGTCCGGTCAAAATTTCCTTCATAGCACACTGCATGCCATATGCCTGCGTTCATCAGCTTGGTTGATGCAGAAACGTAGAACATTAAACCTCATCTCATTTCGCCCCCTATACCCCGAAAGGATGCCCCTAACAATAGCTTTAAAGGCAAAAGGGGCTGAAATCCGCACGAGATATCTAGGGACTTACAACGCTTCCCAGGGCCCAACTGGTTTACTCGCGACCTTCCGACCTATGGTCGTTTGGATGACAGCATCATGAGGCAGCAATGTAACTAGCAAAATCTGTAACCGTCATTATATCCGCCTTGGCCTTCCACATACATTCGAACATCAAATGCTATCTGCATAAAGTTTAATTGGCCTTCTTCAATCTTGGTTGGTTGGTATTTACTAAACTATATGTACATTTCCATAATAAGTCTCTAGCCACTGTTCTGGTTTCCATGCCATCAGTACATATTTAATTACCACATATCCATCTGATTGGGTACGTGTTGCATTCACCGTAATCTATCCTTCCCGTAAAAGCCCAATTTACTGAAAAACATCGGTCAGGTAGCAGAGTTAACTCGGCCTATTTTTATTATATTCCAGCAATTATTACGAGATATCTTACAGTACGATACATCATTGAACCAGTCACTAGATCGTATAACTAACAGTAGAAGAACATGCGATCTTATATTAGGTGTTGGTGATGCTAAGGTTAGTAAATTTCAAGGTACAGGTGTGTGTGTGTGAGTTAGTTGTATTTTACGTCCGCTTCCACCGAGGTGATATCGTAGACAATAACATTTTATGTGTACATGGTGCAATAATTTACAATGTGATTAGTGGAAAAAGAGGATAATTAGGTTTTTGTATATATGTAGAGAAGACAATAGATAACAGGACGAGATAACAGGTGCAAAGACAGGTGAATTTGTGACAAAACAGACATGAATATGGACGAACATATTTGGACCGACATTTAGACATAGCATGTGCATATATATGTATATATATATATTTCGGTCTTTTTCGTCGGTCTGGTCGATTTGTCCGGTTGAATGGCAGGGCGGTGCAACTCTTCCTTGGGGCTTATTGGTGAGTGTAAGGCCTGGACCATTCTTCCTTCCATTTGGTTTTGTTGTCCGGTATGGTGGTTGAATTTCGTCTTTATTTCTGTTGTTCATTCCTTTGTTGTTGGTGCTTTATAGTTTTGAATCACAAAGGCAAGATAATACCGCCATACGTCATCCAGGAAAGAGAGAAGCATGAAATGAAGTTTAAATAGGCCACTTCGGGACAAATTTATTGGTAATTGTTCTATCTCAACAGTTCGCTTCTGTGTAGGGAATCTTTAGCATATTAAAGATGTCCTGTCTGGAAACATCTGGCCAATTTTGGGTTGTTGTGTTTAAATAGCTAACTTTATGTTTGTGTTTAACAGATACCCGCTTTCCGTAGTGTAGAATATTCAGCATCAGCAGCTGATTTCTTTGATGATACCAACATGAGACCAGAAGCCTCGTGGCATCCTAGAATATCTGATGTAGTTTATCACGGTAAGAATGGACATAATATACAACTGTATTGAACTTATGTGTACATAACTTTGCTCATGTTTTGTCAAACGGTTCCCTGTACAGACCTACCCAGACAACTTCACAGACCACTACCATGACTTACAACGACCAAATGCTCGTATCGCGTTTAAAATATAACGTTTACTGGATATGCTATGTCTATTTCAGGTATGGATTGGGATTGCCCTGCGTTTAATCAAGCTTTAGCCAAACAAATTCTAGTTAATTATGGTAAACTTACAGCTCAGGCTGTGATACGGGATGTAGTACCAATAGTTCAAACTGGTAATATGCAAGTAGCTGTATACGATCTTACACAGAACATTGCTTATCTTGCTAATGCCAGGGCTTCGTATGAGACTGGACCAACATATGCTTATGAAAGGTAGGCCTACTTACAATCTGAATTTGAGAGTTTAGTCTTAAAACCTTGAAGTATAGTCTACCACCCTGTCTTATCCTGGGAGTATAGTCTAAGATCCTGTCTTATTCTGAGAGTATAGTCCGTCCCCGTGTCTTTTCCTTGGATTATATTCTGAACCTGTGAGTAATGTAGCCTTACCCCTGGTAGTGCAAACTGTCTTAATTAAACAGTTGTAAAGCTACTATGTTTATGTGTTTTAAAAATAAAGGTAAACTCCCTCTGTGCAGGACATCAGCCACTACAGAAGCACAATGTCCAATTGATAATTCTCGGACACCTTGAAATATATATACAAGTAATATATTATATATCACTGCTCTTTGAATACAGTTTGTTGGGATCTCCTATTGTGAATAGGGGAGTCTATAGGCTTCTGTCTGTTCCCCAATCCAGACTCTCTGAATAAATATTGTTTATCAAAAAATATTTTATTTATTGTAGGACGTATATAAAACTGGATATGGGACAGTTGTTTAGTGAAAGTCCACCATCCCGGCAGTAGATCGGCCAATTAAAAAGTAAAACAAAATATGTGTAAATGAACAAATAAATAAAAAAGAAATACTACAGCAAACCTTTCTTTTAAAAGCCAATATACACCCATCAACTTGCTATTTAATAGACAATTCTCAACTGTTTTATCCGGTTGGACACTGCCAAGAGATGATTAACAAAACCCCCAATAACCTCAAAAGTAGAAATGGAAAGCGACTAGAATTTCTTGTAAACAGTATTTAAATTTTTATTTACATTTTATATTGCAAAATCAGTGGAAGTTTGAGTCGATAAAGGCATTTACCCGATTGCTAACATCTGCTGTCAATGTGGGCCCATTTAAAAACAAGTATCGTACTATGTACCAGGCAATGAGCATGTTGTTGGATGAAATTCAAAGATCTAATTCCCCATATCGATGCCAATTTTTATGTCGATCGGACTTGAATTGATAAAGCTTTTTTCAAAGAGCGTCACCCCCAAGAACAAGAAGAACAACAAGATGTGTAGAGGTTAGCGATCAGTTCCTGGTCCAATAATTTGTTGTTCAGGACAGCCAAAATGTTTACAGTTCAAAATGAATTGCGTATGACAATTAATAAATAAACACATATACGAAGTACTCGTTTTGCATGAAGGTTCAGTAAGATTTTCGTCCCAATCAAAAAATATGTCCTTTATCGCTCTTTATAAAAACATTAAATAAAACTGTCAAACTTCAGTCATTTAGATTAGGAACAGGCCCGAGGGAGGTGGGGGTGGCGGTGACTGGGATACAGCCAGGGCCCCCAATATTAAAGGAGCCCCCTAAATAGTATAATACAAAATTTCGTACCGGTGCCATAATTAAATATGTAATTTATTATGTTTGTGCCAAATAAATAAATCTATCTATCTACCATACTGACCTACAAATTGCCATTGTACGAGTGTGATGGATAATGCCCCGCAGGTTATACCGCTTGTCACTGATGATGCACGGGCCCCGTGACATTTTCAGCCAGAGGCCCCATACAAGCTTCATCCGGTTTCATGCATTGATAACTTTAAGTACAATTTCAACAGTACAATAGCAGCCAACGAGAAATTCATTTTAAATCCAAATATTTATGTAAATGGCAGAGCAATTTGTAATAAGTACTTACCTGTGATCCTGTTATATTAGTTCTCACTGAATACAAGATTGATCTATTTACTAGATTGAGTTGATTTTAAGCTGTTATATTACCACTCACTGAATACAGATTAATCAAATAACTTCTATGATTTTAAACTGTTATAGGCCTATGGGATTTCCAATCAGGGTATAGGTGTGTGTGTGTGGCTAGGTGCTCTCCCTTCCCAAAAAGTGCTCTCGAATGTTAAAATTGGAATGCCCGCAATATCCCCCCGCCCCCATTGCCGTAATGAACAGTGTGCTCTCTTCTCTCTTCCTGCTGCTGCTCCCTTGCTCCAACTCCAACCAGACCCAGCGATACTAATAATAACCAATCGCGTTCAGTAGGCTACGTGCGTGCACGCACCATTGATCACTCTGTGCTGCTGGTTGGCTCTCAGTGGGAACAGGTCAGCGATGTTGGTGATGACTAATTGTGGCTGGTATCCAATTTTGGTTTCGATTTGGAAAAGTTCGCAAATGGCAACCATGGTCACATTTTCTTATATTTAGCCCCATATTAGGAAGCTTATGATGCCTGTGCTCGTAGTTCGTTTTGTTGCTAACTACAATACTATACTATGACCAATGTTCGGATCTTCGAGACTTGATCATAATCCCTCAACCAAGTGTCTCGAATGTATGCCATGGCTCAGATAAACGCCAAATCGACACCAGCATGTGCCACGGGACAGAACCAAACTTTTTTTTCAATCTGTGTTCCACATTGCCTTTCTGCACAGAGCCTTGGCTTATATATAATGAGGCTCTGCCTCTGTGCAGTTAGTAATATAACGTGTACGTTGCCTCGCATAATTTAGCTAGCTGGGTGTTAATCATTCATCAATAAAATTTGTTATTCTGCTTCAGATAAACATAGTTACTTAACCTTTGAGCAGGACGGCAGGACCTAGATGTAGTCAAATTTTGCAATTTTTTGTTTAGTAGACTTTCCGCTTTATAAATTTTCATTCTACGCACACAGCAAAGGGAACTAACTCCTTAAAATATGGCTGCCCGTGCACAAGGGTGCACTTGGTTTCAAAAAGAATTGAGTGTTGGCTCAAGGAAGAGGGGTTGTCACAATATCACAGATGAAATAAAAAGGGGTTTACCTGAAGTTAGTCAAGTTCAAATAGGATTGTTGAATATAAACAGTGAGTTAATAAAAATATTGACACTGACAACAGATTTCTGCATAAAATATGAAACTAAAATAAAAGTAGATTAGAGGAAAATGGAAGTAGAATATAATCATCGGAACTTTATATTTTGTTTTTGCCATGATGTGACAATCTTAAGATTTTATAACTCACTGATGTTCATTTTTTTCTTGTTTATTTTAAAATGTCTACAATTTAGCCAAGGGTTTTTCGTTGGTAGTGATAAATTAAAATAATATATGGCAGGGAGCTAGGTGCAGCGGCCTGCCTAGGACAGTGAGTGAGGGACAGCTACTTAGTTTGGGCACTATATTGGACTTTCGTACCTCTACTAGTTCCCTGTAGAAATATGGTTCCACTACTGATGTCTTCTGTCTTGCTCCAGCCACAGTAGTGCCTTCCTTTGAGCAAGTTTTGTATAGTCATTTCAACTGACATTTGACTACAAAAAAGTTACTGGCCTATAACTCCCTTAATTTCTAGTAACACTGACCCCAAACTGTACTGTACATAGCTTAACATATAATAAACCAATTCCCATTGAATAAATGTGAAACCTTGCCGTATAATTATATGATTTGATTAAACTAAACCCAATAGCTATGCGAAATTTAAATGGCCGCTGAACCAAGATCACAGGGTGTCATGTCATTCGAAAATACAGAAAAACTTTGGTAAGATAAGATTATGATTTCAGTGTTCCACTCTTCACTATTTGTAACATAATTACTTATTTCCATGCAAACTATGATGATATGTATTAAGAATTTTGCAATTGAACCTAATGTTACTTGCTCAAAGCCTCGAATAGTGTATCAATTGCAGCTGTAGATAAGAATTACCACGGCTAAAAATTGCAGCTAATTTCCCTGCAGCTACCACAATGTAGATTAGATAATGTACCTCATCACTCGAGCCTACTTCACACCAAACGTATCTCAATGTTTTAGCTGGCTCGCTAGCCTGGAGGTCGGGTGTTCGATCCCTGCATTGGCCGAGAAAGTTCATCCAGATTTTCCGGCGTGGTTCCCCCTTGTCAGTGATGCAGGACTTTTTATGAGGAAAGATTCATGGTTGTGTGCTTTATCCCTTTATCATCAGATGGTGGGATGGAATGGGCATTCAAAGCACGAGATTAATAATATAGACATATGTGATATCATAATTGAAGAAAAGTAATCCCCCAGCAACACACCAAGACTGTTACGGAATATATAGAGATTTATTCCAGAACGCGTTTCAGGCGGAGTAGCCCTTTATCAGCTGGATATCACAATTAAGGCTTTGCATAAATGAAATTGAATCACAATGTGATCGTATTAATTTATAATAGAAATTGATGTCAAACAGGGTGCTCTCTTTAGAAAGCTCAGTGTGTATATATGTCTACGTAATTTGGAGACGATAATGGCATCATGCATTGTCATCTGTCAAATTTCCCTAACAATGGGTATTCAAAGAGGAAACCGAATGTGAGAAACAAAAGCCATGGGAGAGAACCCACCCAGTCCCCACCAAAAGATACATTGTCTCAGGAACCTGGCAAACCCCCTCCTGCAAAAGTTTCTGGATCTGCCCCTGCATATCGTTATTTAACTTAAAATCCAGAACTAGATTGGATCGAACCACCATTAATTCATAATGTCTTTATTGTTATTTTTTTAAATATTGATACAGTTAATCTTTTTTTCTTTCTTTTCATTCCAGTTAAACATACATCAGCAAGTTTAGTCTTAAATGAGGTATGATATGATTTTTTTATTTGTCAATAAATACAAATTTAAACATTCAGTTAAGTTTTTATATGCCCATCTTTTTATGTTGATGTATATTGTCGTCTCTCCCGTCCGTCCGTCCACAATTTGTTTGTGGACAGTCTACAGGTCACAATGTTTATATGATTTTGACGAAACATGAAATATAGGTTTATCTCCCAAAGATCTTGGTTACTTTCGATATTGGCATGTATTATGGACCCTGGTTGTACAAAAAACTGGTTTTAGCTTGTGGACACTCTAAAGGTCACAATTTGTATCTGATTTTGATGAAACTTGAAATGACTGTTTATAACCTAAAGATTTCAGGTCCTTTCGATATTTGCACATATTGAACTGTAACTTCCGGGATTATGGTCCCTGATTGTACGAAAAATCGTGTTTTTAGCTAGTGGTCTCTCTTGAGGTCACAATTAAAGTATGTAATATTAAGGTTGTAGACCCTCTAGATGTCACAATTTTTATCTGATTTTGATGAAACTTAAAAGATGTATTTATATCACAAAGATCTTGGTTCCTTTTCATATCCGCGCATATTTGACCGTAACTTCCTGGATTATGACCTCTGATTGTACGTAAAAGTCTCGATTTTAGCTTGTGGACCCTCTAGAGGTCACAATTTTTTTCCAATTGAATATATCATCCTTACACCCTGATGATGGTTGAGTTAGAAGTTCGTAAAAATCAAACTAAACCTTCTCAACAAAATTGCCGCTCCTTGAACGCAAATAGTGTAAAAGTATGTAATACCAAAGTTGTGGAATGTGGACCCTCTAGAGGTCACAATTTTTTCCGATTTTCATGAAACTTTAAATAAAATAAAACCAAGTACGAACAATCAAACCATTAGACAAAATTCGAAGTCCTAAAAAAACGGTATAGTCAAAATAGTGTAATAAGGCAAAATAGTGTAATCAGCATATGGACTGTTCACCGATTTTCATGAAACTTTAAATAAAATAAAACCAAGTACGAACAATCAAACCATTAGACAAAATTCGAAGTCCTAAAAAAACGGTATAGTCAAAATAGTGTAATAAGGCAAAATAGTGTAATCAGCATATGGACTGTTCACCGTGTACAAAATACACGACAAACAGTGGTAACAGGTGTCCGGAAGAGTAAGCTTACCCTGTCTGGCGCCACACCTGCCATAGCTGCATCCAAACTATTAGGCGAAATCTCGGTAAAATAGCGTGGTTGGCCAATGGACTATCGGTATGCAAAATGCACGTGATGAACAGTGTTAGCGATGTAGTAGACAGACATTATCAGGGAGATTGTATACGTGTCAATTAAATATATCTAGAATAATAGCTGAGAGAGACATGTTATATTTACCAATCAAGTCAATATGACGCCCATAAAACTTTTTAAAGGTTTTAATAAGTTTATTTCGCAAGTATCCCTGTAGTTGAAGCTTAGATGACAAATGCCTCGATCTACTTAAAAAATCAGAATAAAATGAACAAGCTCTCGCGTAACGAATTAGTTGAGACACAAACACTCCATAAGTTGGTGATATTGGAATGTTACTACTAATAAATGGAAAGTTAACAATCGGAAAGTCAAAGTCATCACGTTTAGTGTACAATTTAACACTAAGTTTATGGCAATTGTCAAAATCAAGACGCAGATCCAAGTAGGAAGCGTAATTGTCACTGTCAGTAGTATTTTTAATTTCGAGCTCATCAGGATATATGAATTCTACATAATCACTAAATTTTGGATTATTCAGTGATAGAACATCATCGATATATCGATAAGTGAAATCAAAATGTCTAAATATATGTTTATATCCCAAAGATCTCAGTTCCTTTCGATATTCCCACATTTCAGACCATTACTTAGTGGATTGTACGGAAAATCAGTTTTTTTTTGTCTTTTTAGATACTTCTTTATCTCTTGCAAAATGTGGGCATATCTTGCATGGCAACCGCTTGTTGTTATAAAAAATGCTTACCAGTATCCTTCAAGTAACCAAACTTAGAAATTCTAGGAACACAATCTCCAGACAGGTCTTTTGTTTGGCTCCAATTTGTAAATACTGTATTTATTTTGTTTAAAGCTATCCTTCAGCCCATTCTATAAGAGATATTTGATTTGTTTATTTGTTAGAGATATGTAAGATTAATATATGTTGTTTTATTTTCCAGTGCTGGGATTCTGATGTTAGGTAAGTGGAAAGAAACATAAATTTTGCAGTTCGGGTCAAAGATTAATATTCTGTTACAAAAGATCTAGTTATGTATAATTTATATTATTAATCATATTCATTCTCCCATATTTCATATTTGGGTATTTTTCACTTCACTCATATCTGATTGTTTTGAAACACACATGCTAGGATTACCCAATATGGGAAGTCAAAAAGAGTTATTATGGGCCCTGTCACCACTCACAATAAATAATTCAAATATTAGTATATTTTTCTTCTTCTTTTTTCAAAATCTCTCCTAATGCATAGTCACACTTCTATTTTTGATATAAATATTGCTCTTGTTATTGGCAGTACTAGCGACAGTACTTAACTGGACATCAATGCTATGATTAATTATTTGAATGAATTATTTTTATTTTATTTACCAGGGTGGATATGGAAATGATGTTAAATAAACTTATACCTGAGGTGAGAATTTATCATTCTGTTTTTTATTTATTTTATTTTATTTTATTCCAGATATTTTATTTATTAAAAATTATGTACCAAAATGTAGATGAATATGACTAATAACAAGTCTGTATTGAGTAACCTGTACTATCCTCTTATACACTTGTGTTGTAAATTAGGAATTTGTTAAGGGCATGCAGATAGAAGACTGATGCTTGATAACACTAAAAGAACCTTCAACCAAACATTACTTTAATTAGTAACTGTGTTCCATATTATGTTTTTGTGTTTATTATGTGCGTTAGTTACTAAATGCCACTCAAAGATAATGATGGAAGACTTGTTCAGGCTGCTAAAATTAAAATTATAGTCCTTTTCAATAGCTTGAAACTGTAGGTAGAATGTGTAGCTGTCAATCGCAATGGAAAATTCTGTCAGAGAAAAGATTTCTGTTTCATGCATCGCGTCAAATTATTATCCATGGTCTGGACTCACTGTAGCAACAAGTAATATGGGTGGGTGCTGTTTGTGAGATGAACTACGTTTACACTTTCCAAAACACCTGATATCACATCTTATTGTCCTGTGGCAAGTTCACTAACCAAACAGTTTTGTATTTAGTTTTAAATAATCTGTTGGCATATAAAGGGTTTCTGTTATCACTGTCTTGGGGAGTTGGATGGCCGAATGGTTAGCACGTGCGCGCTGTATCATACGGTCTGTCATTGAGTGGACTGGTGTTGTTTCGATTCCCCGGTTGTACATGACAAGGAGTAGGGTCGCTTGTCCAACCTCATGTGTTTTTTCTCCAGTTTTCTCCCACTGCTAAAGAGCCCTACGCTCAACTGAATTCAGGGAGAGGGGTTTTACATAGGCTAAGCCTGTTCCCCAATCCCATTCAGACATCCTGAATAAAAATATTGTTTATAAAAAAACACCAAAAAACCCCTGAATTATTGAAATAAAATTAAACTATGTATAAGTGGACTTTAACCCCATTTCTCTCTCATGCACTGTCTCATTTTACTGTATGTGTTGTATTCATGTACTAGTAGCCTTGCTAAGTCTTGTTTGACAATTTGGATGAAATTATATATACAAAATATTACCAACAAAATTTGTCTCCTCATTACTTACCTAACATGTGTGTTGAAGTCATCCTAAACACATTTAACTTCAGTAATTTATATATTTGTAGGGTTTAAATTACAAACATTCTTGTGAAGGACCTGATGATATGGTAGGTATCATATTTTACGTCTCATCAGTTAATATCATTTATTAAAGCATGTGTAAAACAATGATCTTCAGCCTATGAGTAAAGCAGGTGTAAAACAATGATCTTCATCCTATGAGTAAAGCATGTGTAAACAATGATCTTTTGTCTATAAGTAAAGCAGGTGTAAAACAATGAACTTTAGTCTATACGTAAAGCATGTGTAAAACAATTAACTTCAGCCTATAAGTAAAGCTTGTGTAGATTCATGGATATTTTAAATTTCGCAGTATGAAATGAATAGTCAATGGTCACAATGATTGCGTACATATCATTGAGATAGGCTCAATATTTTACTGTGGACATGACATAAGAGATGTGAGAATCTAATTGTAACAATTGTACACCACAGGCCGGTGTCGACGAGGTTTGACTATCTGACGAGCACCTGAGTTATTTCGGATTCAAGATAAACTATCTATTATTGACGATAATTTGTCAAACAGGAAACAATCAGTCATCATCAAAGGCAGCAGCTCTATTCTAAATAATGTAATCACAGGTGTTCCCCAAGGATCAGTATTGGGTCCACTTCTTTTCCTTATTTGTATCAATGATAAGTACTAATTTATTTGCAAATGATATGCCATTGTATCTAACTATTGGAACCCCAAGTGAATTATAAAATATAGATTTGAATTTGATTAACAAATGGTCATTTAAATGGAAGGTAGGATTCAACCCCCTGGAAACAGTTTCTGTGACATTATTTAGAAAACAACTATAAACCTCTTTCGAATTATATTTTAATAACATTGGATATGACCACATCTGCATGACAGCTGATTAGAAATATGCATTATACATTGGCGTCCCTTTAACACTGATGAGAGTGAAAACAGCGCGCTAATATGCATACCGGGTAGTTTGTTTTATGCTTTGTTCTCCCTTGCAAATTACGATATGTGAAGCTATAAAAGGAATATCAGTCTAAAAATGGTTCAAAACCGATCAGGATTTACATAGATATGAGACAATAAATCTGCAAACAATGTTTGTTATCTAATGTTTGTGCTTGTTATATAAAATCTTTTGTATGGGTCCCTATTTCATCTGATTACATGAGGGCCAAACAAATATCTACTGTTAATATTTTGTTATTGTTAAATGATTTTAATTGAAAGTCTAGAAAAATTAGATATTGTCAGATAAATTAGTGAGAATACTAAGAAATCTCTAATTAGTCTACTTACTGTTGATTTTAAACTGTTACAGTGGTACTCACTGAATTCAGATTAACACTACTAAACCAAAAGATGCCACTCCTAACAGTATAGTCAATAGCCAATTGTTAACATTTGATTTTTTACAGCATTAGTAATTCATAGTTGTATAGACCATGTCACATTTGATGGCCTTTTATAGGTTAATACATGCAATCCGATATTGTATTTAATTGATATGAGTGTACTGTAAACACTGTGCTTTTGCATTTCTTGTAATTTGATTATATATACATAAAGTTTTGTGATATTTGTTTTTAATTGATATTTTTTTGTGATATTGTTTATATTTATGTATAATATTGTGATTATTATTTAGTTTGTCTCATGTAAGTCACCATATGTTGGTGAAATAGAGCCTTGTTGGAGCTGATGTGCCATAAAACAACATTTCATTCATTCATTCCCATTACCCACAAAAGAATGCTTGGACAATTTAGCTGCTTTGTGCATGTTTTGTTGCCTGGCAACCTATTTTTCTCTCTCAGAAATTATAATCATACATGTATTTTGTATTTTCCAGCCAGCCCACATAAAAGCAGCGTTATTAGGAAGTAGTGTAACTATACCTATTACTCAAGGTCAGTTAAACCTTGGAACGTGGCAAGGTGTATGGTTATGTGAACACAGAGATAGAGCTAGTAAGTTTTAAAAATACCATACAGATAGACCTTTTGGTTTCATCCACACTTTGTTGTCAGCGCACTAGAGGCTTCAGTTTTATATCAAATTTTTCTCAAACTTTCTGGAAATTTGTAATGCTTGTCAGTACAATAGAGGGCAGATTTTTATACGCCCACATTTTCATGTGGACGTATATTGTCACCCCTGTCCGTCCGTCCACAATTGTTTGTGAACATTCTACAAATCACAATTTTTTTCCGATTTCAATGAAACTTGAAATATACGTTTATCACCCTAAGATATCGGTTCCTTTTGATATTGGCATGTATCGGACTGTAACTTCATGGATTATGGCCCCTGATTGTACGAAAAATCATGTTTTTAGCTTGTGAACACTGTAGAGGTCACAATTTTTAACTGATTTGGTTTAAACTTGAAATGTATGTTTATAACCCACAGATCTCGGTTCCTTTCAATATTCGCGCATATCGGACCATAACTTCCTGAATTATGGCCCTTGATTGTACGAAAAATCACGTTTTTAGCTTGTGGACCCCATAGAGGTCACAATTTTTATCCGATTCAAAAAAACATGTGAATATATCACCGTTACACCCTAAGAATGGCTGAGTTCGAATTTCGTAAAAATTGGACCGAATCTGACGGACAAAAAGGCCGCCCCTCGTTTGCAAATAGTGTCAAAATATTGCGTATCAGGGTTGTTGACCCTCTGGAGGTGGCAATTTTCACCTGATACTTGAAATGCATGTTTATCACCCACAGATCTCAGTTCCTTTCGATTTTCGCGCATATCGGACCATAACTTCCTGAATTATAGCCCCTGATTGTACGAAAAATCACGTTTTTAGCTTGTGGACCCCATAGAAGTCACAATTTTTATCTATTTTACAAGAACGTTTGAATATATCACTGTTACACCCTAAGGATGGTTGGGTTCGAATTTCATAAAAATTGGACCGAAGCTGACAAACAAAATAACCACCCCTCGTTCGCAAATAGTGTCAGTGGATCCACTGGAGGTTACAATTTTCATCTGATTTTGATGAAATTTGAAAGGCATGTTTATAACCCAAATATCTTGGTTCATTTCTATTTTCGTGCATATCGAATCATAACTTCCTGAATTATGGCCCTGATTGTACAAAAAATCGCGTTTTAAGCTTGTGGTCCCTCTAGAGGTCACAATTATTATCCGATTTAAAAAAACATTTGAATATATCACCGTTACACCGTAATTTTGTCTGAGGTTGAGTTTCATGAAAATCGGACCATAATTGCCAGATATAATGGCCGCCCCTAGTACCCAAATAGTGTAAACATCTGGTATATCAAAGTTGTGGACCCTCTAGAGGCCGGGATTTTGATCCGATTTTGTTGAGACTTGAAATGCAAGTTTATAACCCAAAGATCTTGGTTCCTTTCAATATTCGTGCATATCCATTTGTAACTTCCTGAATTTTGGCCTCTGGTTGTATGGAAAATTGCTTTTTTAGCTTGTGGTCCCTCTAGAGGTCACAATTATTATTCGATTTAAAAAAATGTTTGAATATATCACCGTTACACCATGCTGTTTGCTGACATAAAATTTCGTGAAAATCGGGCCCAAACTGCTGGACAAAATGGCCGCCCCTCGTACACAAATAGTGTATAGCATCTGGTACATCAAGCTTGTGGTCACAATTTTGATCGATTTTGATGAAAGTTTATAACCCAAAGAACTTGATACCTTTCGATATTCGCGCATTTCGGATTGTATATTCCTGAATTATGGCCCTTGAATGTACAAAAAATCGCGTTTTTAGCTTGTGGTCCCTCTAGAGGTCGCAATTATTATTCGATTTAAAAAAAACATTCGAATATATCACCGTAACTTCCTGGATTATGGCTCCTGATTGTTCGAAAAATCACATTTTTAGCATGCAGATTCTCTAGAGGTCACAATATTTTTTTTCCGATTTTAAAAAACGTTTCAATATATCACCATTCCACCATAATGAAGGTTGAATTCGAATTTCGTGAAAATCGAAATAAAAATGCCTGACAAAATGGCCGCACTTTGCACGCAAATTGTGTAAAAGTATGCTACGAAGGTTGTGGACCCTCTAGAGGTCGCAATTTTTATCCGATTTTGATGAAACTTAAAACATATCTTTATATCCCAAAGATCTGTCCCTTTTGATATTTGGACATTTCAGACCATAACTTTCTGGATTATTGCCCCTGATTGTACAAAAAATCCAATTTGTTTTTAACTTGTTCTCTATCCATCTCTTGCAAAATGTGGGTGTATCCTGCCTGGCAGCCGCTGGTTTTGAGAGAGTCAGGAAGCTTGTATTGTGATAAGACGAGGATTTCTATTTCTTTTCGTCCAAATCGGATTACCGGTAATGTTTTATAGTTATGCCCATTTTTTTGCGAAACCTTTCCATCATGCTAACAAGTAGTTCTTTGTGACTGCAATGGAAGCTACAGATTTTAACTGATTTTTTTTTAATTTTGTGTGAAGCATAGGGGTCCATTATTGATCATTAGTCTAACTATATTTAAAAATTGTATTGTATGACAGTCAATGTTCAGTTTTGTCTTCACGGAATAGATAAAATTTTGAATCTGATAAAAGGGGACAATTTTTATTTCTTTAGGGTGTTGAGTAGTCTAAGATACGCACTTATTTAAACTTTGCACACTTGTTCCAATAACCCAAAGGACACATAACAGTCTGACCGTTTGTTGTGCAATAATGGAGATACAAGCGGAAAGAAAAAAATATTTATAGCAAACGTGAAGGGGGATTATCAATATCTCTTTTTAGCATGTACTAAAAGAATTTCCAAGAAAACTCATTGGTTTTATTTTTTCATTTCCATGGATACCCGACAAACCACAGCCTAAAGCCCAAAATTGTCCTGTTGCTTTTTATACGGCCACATTTTCATGGCTGCCACTTGTACGCAAATGGTGTCAAAATATGGTATATCAAGGTTGTACACCCTCTAGAATCCACAATTCTGATCCGATTTTGATGAAACTTTTAATTTATGTTTATATCACATGTGAAAGATCTTGGTTCTTTTTTATTAATCCTTTCGAACGTAACTTCCTGGATTATGGCACATTTTTAGCTTGAGGACCCGCTAGAAGTCACAATTTGTATTCAATTTTAAAAACGTTTAAATATATCACCATTTCACATCAATTACAGTTGACCAAAACTGCTAGACAAAATGAACGCTCCTTGTATGCAAATAGTGTAAAAGTATGTAATACCAAGGTTGTGGACATTCTAGAAGTCACAATTTACCCAATTTTGATGAAACTTGAAATATATGTTTATAATCCAAAGATCTTTGTTCCTGCACATATCGGACCATAACTTTCTGGATTATGGACCCAGATTGTACTAGAGGTCACGATTTTTATCTGATTTTAAAAATCGTTCAAATGTATCACGGTTATACCTAAATAACGGTTGAGTTCAAATTTCATGAAAATCGGAACAAAACTGTCTGACAAAATGACCGCTCCTTGTACGCAAATAGTGTAAAAGTATGTAATACCAAGGTTGTGGTATGAATAAAAATTACAGTGCTAGCTTTAAAATGTGCATTTTAGACTGCTCAACATCTTTAAGCCTTTTGATCCAGTTTGTAAATATTAAACGTTATTGTGTTTATTACAGGTTCAAGACACTTAGTATGTACAATACAGGGCGCAACAAAATAAATTATTGATTAATATCATATATCTTCGTTGAGTTGATTTTATAAAGGGATTATAGCTTTGAATTTAAATAAATTATATCGGGGCAGTATTTAATACCCATTTGGCATTATATCCCATATTTCTGTTTTGAAGACACTGGTACATTACTATGATACAATGAGCTGTAAGGAGAAAGAGAGAGAAATGGGGTTTAATGTCTGTTCGACACAAACTAGGTCATTTTGTGACTAACATATTCATTTTTATTTCAATAATTCGCTTGTGCGTAGGGATCGTTTGTGTGGGAGGAAACCAGAGGACCCCCCCAAAAAACATGAGGTTGGCCAGGTGACCCTACTCCTTGTCATGTACAAGCGGAGAATTGAAACCAAGCCACCGGATTCATTGACAGACCTAATGATCAAATGCACACATCTTGTTGGATAGACAGGGTAGGCAGCCAACTATCCTGCCCTTATGGATACAAAAATAAAAGAACCCGGAATTGATTGATAATGTTCGAATCCGATGAGATTTCCAACCAGTGTATAAGGGGTGTGTGTGGCTATGTGCCTTTCCTTCTGAAAAAGTGCCCTTGAATTTCAAAAGAGTTACCTGAAATACTCATGGCAATGCCTGCATCAAAGTCATCAAATTGCCATTGTCCTAATGACAATATGGTGTCCCCTTTTCTTGCTGCCTTTCCTTTGTTCCAACCAGATCCAGCGATACTAATAACAAGCCAACAGTGAGGCTGATATCCCCCAAAATAAATAGATGACACATATTAATTACAGCACATTTATTTTTTTCAAAAGTATTGAGCAATCAAACTATACACTAAGTTTCATCACTCTCTATCAAATAGAATCAAGATTATCTTGTCCCAATGCATTGACCAATGAAATTGATTAGCTCTGCTTAGCTTCAGCTTGAAATGTTAATCATTGAACTCAGTCAAGACATTCACCTAATGAACATCAACATCAAGTTTAAACATTCTACCTCAATTAAAAGCAGAGTTATGTTCTAAAGTCTTGACCAATCAAATTGCTTATAGCTCCTTTCTAAGCAGAAAATTCTCACCATCAAACTTAGTCAAGGTAATGATATAATTAATCTATATTCAGAGTTTCGTCGCTCTCACTTCATTATAACCAAAGTTATCGTGCCCCAAAGCATCAGCCAATCAGATTGATTATCTCTGCTTACCGTAAGCAATGTTCATCATCGAACTCCATCAAGGCAAGCACCTAATGAAAGCCTACACCAAGTTTGAACATTCTACATCAATTAGAATGAGTTATTGTGTTCCAACGTCTCGACCAATCAAATTGCTTATCGCTCTGCTTACCATGAGCAGAAAATGTTCATTATCGAACTTAGTCCAGGTATTGATGTAATGAAACAATACACCAAGCTTCATCACTCTCACTTAATTAGAACTAAAGTTATGGTGTCCCAATGCATCAACCAATCGAATTTCTTATCTCTGCTTACCCTAAGCAGAAAATGCTCATCTTCAAACTCCATCAAGGCATTGACCTAATAAACACCTACACCAAGTTTGAACATTCTAGCTCAATTAGAAGGAGAGTTATTGTGTCCCAAAAAGTGTGACGGACTTAAAAAGGGACAATAACACTCTTGCTGGCTTGACAGCTCCAGAAAATAAAAAAATAGCCTTATTCTAAGTACTAGATGTGTTAGTGTCCTACCTGTTGTGTAAATTATCCATTAAATCCTATTTTACTTGTCCAGAGGGTTCAAAAATATTTTTAAATCCAAGTCACATTTGAAAAGCTTTACGTCAGGCTTTTCAAATCATTTAGTTGAATTTTTCCAATTTTTTATATTAGGTGTGTTAAGATGAAATTTGTATCATCAATTAATTGGAATATTGTAAAGTAGTACAATTTGTTGACTGGAATAAAGATTGGGACATATTATTCAGTTACAACAAGAGTGGTATTGAGCCTTTAAGGAATTAAGGAGAATGAAAAAAATCAGAACCGGCAACACTGGTTTAGTTGCTAGTATACTCAAAGCCAATAAAAAATAGCACTGTAAATAAAAATATTTCTTCTCATGGATTCCAGAAAGTTCCTGAATGGAGTTTCCAGTATGGTTTGGCGTTGTCACAGATGCAGGACAAAAGGCCTGGCAAGTGGCATCGTCTAGTCATTCGGATGGGTAAAAAACCAAGGTCCCCTGTACACATTAGAGTGCACATAAAAGAACCCTTTAATGGCTTTAATGTTTTAATATGATATAATGGTCGATTGTAGTGGCACTGTGTGGCTAATATTTCCCATGATGGCGTTTGCATGTGTTATATATATAGATATTGACGGATAAACTAATTAATCTATTGCTTTTAAACTGTTATAATAATACTCACTGAATACAGCTTAATCTACTAACTAGATTGAGTTGATTTTAAACTGTTATACTAATACTCACTGAATACAGATTGATCTACTCACCCGGCTGAATAAATTTGCGAGACCCAGATTCAAGCATTATCAGTCCTTATCGTTTGAGTCAGAACCACACTTCCACATACCACTCAAACCCCGGAGTCCGGACCACTCTTCCAGATACAACTCAAACTCTGGGGTCAGAATGACCCTTCCACTTATCACTCAAACCCTGAGTCAGAACCACACTTCCATATACCACTCAAACCCTGGAGTCAGATCTACATTTCCACATACCTCTCAAACTCAGGGGTTAGAATCACCCTTCCACATACCGCTCAAACCCTGGAGTCAGAACCACACTTCCATATACCACTCAAACCCTGGAGTCGGAACCACACTTCCACATACCACTCAAAAAGAGAGAGATGGGGTTTAACGTCCACTCGGCACAAACTAGGTAATTCCGGGACTAACACACGGTTCAATTTTATTTCAACAATTCGCTTGCCCGTAGGGGTCTTTAGCAGTGGGAGGAACCCGGAGGACCTGGAGTAAACCCACAATGGTGGACAGGCGACCCTACTCCTGGTCAATTACAACCAGGGCATCGAAACCACGCCAATTGACTCAATGACAGACCTTATGATACAGTGCGCACGTGCTAACCATTCGGCCATCCAACCATCTCATACCACTCAAACTCTTGTGTCAGAACCACACTTCCACATACCACTCAAACATAACCGTGTTGTAAGGAAATACATAAATATCGTTATGCATGAGAAATCACATTTTCGTGATGTTTAACACATGAATATGAAAATAAGAAAGATATAACTGTAATTTACAATTTTATTACAAAGTGTTACAATTTACATGTTTTTTGTAGAATCTGTGCTGTTAGAACAAAGAGACTTGTACATATTTATATTATATATGTCTGAAGAAACTGAACCATCGGCTCCTGCAATAACAAACCAAGGATATATTTATAGCCATCCTAAAACTTGATGTTTTATTGAAATAATATCCATCATTTTACTTGTTCCTTCATCCAAACTACAGTAATGTGTTATGTAACATCAAATTTTATCCCAAACTTATTTAACTTGGTTATTTAAAGAGTTTTAATTATATAACAAAAGAACACAGATTTATGCAGATTTAATCTTAATTGTTTTAATGCCACCAGAGCCTGGAGTTTAAACAGTATTTAGTCAAAACGTAACATAAATCCACGTTTCTCCAGATGATGTTACAGTTATTTTTTTTCATTTCATTTTATAAAAAGAATGAATCCTCTGCTACTAGTTTAAAGTATTAGGCTTAAAGAATAACAAAAAAAAAAAACAATAATAAGCAGCAAATGGATAAAAGATTTTAAAACAATAACAATTAATATGCATTAAAACTAGATGATAAGACTAATTAATTGGTTCAATTAAGTTGACACGTTTGAAATCGTTGTTTGTAGATTATCTAACTGAATGATGAAAACAAACTATGATTGATCACTGAATACATTATACTTTAACTGGTACAGTAGCATTTTACAGCAGAATATAAACATTTCATTTAATTCTACAAAGTTCTCATCTTATATGATTGCAATCTTTAAGTCTTAAAAAGCAAAGATAAAAAAGTCTACATGAAGAATTACATTTAAATCTCTGATGAAATATGATTTAAATTTCACCTAATTAAATTTACATATGGGCCGATAATATATATAAATGTATTTAAGACAGATTAGACTGTATTAACAATAAGTCAGTTCGTAGACAAATTTCTCTAGCGTTCAAAAACACATTTATATGACTAGAAATGTAACTTTACAGAATAACATATATTTACTTATAGGATTTTTAAGAAGAAAACTCTATTTCTTGAAATTCTTAGTATAGCAAACTTGATCCTCACAAAGAAATAAAATTTCAAAACAGTCCTTCAAAAATAATAAGGCCTAATTTACACAGTACTACATACTCTCTCATCATGAAGTAATTGTTCCATACAGGCCTTCAAAATCCTATTAAATTGTGCGTTTTTGACAGAAATTTTCTTTAAAAAACAAAAGAGGTGACATGCACCGATAAGATAAATATTTTGCAAAGTTTTAATCATTACCAAGATTGATAAATGAGCTCCATGTAGAATTCCTTCATCTAAATATATAACATATCACTTCTTTAATATTTCATGTCCCTATCAATTTACATAAATCCAAAAAAGAATTCAAATCAAAAGATGAACCTTGCTATAGCAGATAAGTTCCATATATTGCACATAATTTGCCATCAATTGCACAAACTGTAATAATTATGCTAATAATTCAAAAACTAAAATGAATTAAAACTAAAATTAATTATAAATGATCATTTGAAAAATAAATAAATAAAGTATAATATATGAATTTAAGAAATTGATTTCAATAATACAGATTTCAAATAAAAGTTAATATTTCATAAATTAAAAAACTCACATATTCAAATAAAAAATGTCATACATACGGTAGTTCAATAAATTAAATACATAGTTCAATAAATTAATACATAGTTCAATAAATTAATACATAATCCAGTTTAAATAATACATAATCCTGTTTAAATAAAAACATAGTCCAAATAAATAACAGAAATTAAAATAAAAATAATCAAATTCTTTTGGATTTAAAATAGTTATAAGATAAAAAATATGATCGTTATTCTTGTTTTGGTTTTAAAAATTATATGCATCTTCTTAAAAAGAATAATACCTCACATGGTAAATAGTATATATACTAAGTTGAGGTCCATTTGTCATTAATCCTACTTATGGTGTATATTTTCTACCGATATATAAACCTTTGTTATATCATAGGTAAAGCTATATACCTAGACAAAGTTGATTTGTATCTTTACAATGTGTCATGGTAAAGCTATTTTGGCCACGTATATTTTAATGGCCGTCTATCTGAGATCTCAACATTATGCATTATAAAAATTCTTTCCAGTCCATTCATATTTTGTAGGACTAAAGCATAAGACAGCACCTGATACAAGGCCGTGTATATTTATGTTCCTGTGAAATGCAGCTTAATTTGTTTACACCGACATTGATATGAAATATCAGTTATTTATTGTCTGTATTTAAATTTCAGAATTATCTTGGGTATTTTTTTTATTTGTATTGATATTTATTTTTATACATTACCAGGTAAAAATCTATTTTAAATAAACAAATGAACCTTGTATAATCTATAACACAGATTGCTAAATGAAAGATTAAATACACTATATAATATGTGAAACAATTTGTTATCATTAGCTTTATATAAATATGGGTTTTTTTTATTTAAAATGAGCTAAGTTGAAACATACACACAACATATAAGGGCAAGAACTGCCATTTTTCTTATGGTATTTTTCCATCTTAAAATAATGAAAGATTTAAATGTTAACAAATAATGGCACATGCAAAGTTGAATCACATGTAATTGCAGTTCAGTTAGAGTTTCTATATATATATACATTTTAACATATAGAAGTGAAACTAAAACACCACCATTTTATATACTCTAACTTTTACACTTGCTCAATCATTATAACTAACACATGATGAATTCCTTTATGTCCATATCCTCCTCTTCAACATGGATTACGGTTTTGAAAAATTCATATTAATTTAGCAAGTGAACATTTTTAAACATAGAATAACACATATTACTACAGTCTTCACAAAAATCCTCCATAAAGGCATATTAATGTGCATTATTTCCAAATATCTCAATTGGACACTTTCTTCTCACAGTTTTTACGCATCCATTGCCTTATTTTCCACTAAAGAAAAGATTGAGCAGGAAAAAAATAATAATGGAGTCATCTTCTATGCATTCAATATTACAAATAGTTTAATACATGTATATGCACAGATTTATTTTAACTTGAAAAAGTATTGCGTTATATCATCAGAAATATCTACTTTTTCACAGCTTTCCTATTTACGTTGGATTTTTTTTTACTCAAGACAGTTGTAGATCAAAAACCTTTCTTGTTAAATTATGTAGCGGAATTTCATCGATTAAGGGTGACATTTATAGTTATAAGTGTATGTATCTTATCTTTACTGTCTTAACACACCAGTATTAACAAGTTTTGTTCATTCAACTATTTACAACTGCTAGTAATAATAATAAATCACTTAATTCTCTCTATTGTCTTGTAAATTATTCCTCGGCAAATAACTCTCACTTCTTTGTCAATTAAAGTAGCCACTCAATAGAACTATCTTCTCTATTGACTGTATTATTCCTCTGTTACGCTTCATCAGACTAAATAGTCTACTTCATTTTACATTCCCTCAGTTGCTGCATAAGGTATAAGACTTCTCTGCTGAATATTGTTGGTTAAAAATCCAAAACCTTGAAGCACTAACAAGTTATCAACATACCAGTAGTCTCTGTTGGTGGATTTTTATAAAAAGCAGCTATTTGCTGATTTGTGTGCAGACCCGTTTTATATTATTTATATGTTAAACAGATAAAAGTACTTATATCTGCTGATGAAATAATTTATTGATGACATGGGTTGGGTTATTTTTTATGTTTTTTTTAAAACTTTTCCAACATTTTAATATGCTGAAAAAAATGGCTATATTAAACTTGTTTCTGATGATTCATTGAATTATCATCTAATAAATAATTTACATTTCAAATTAACGCTTTCTAAAATGAAGAAATATAAAACTTCTTCCACAATTTGGTTCATCTTGCCAATAATATACAAGGTGTATACTCTAACAATAACAGTACTATTATAAGCTAAGTTCAGTTTATTTATGTCCTGGTTTAAATGACACGGAGGGAGCGGAACGCTCATGAGTGTCTCGATCACGATCACGATCATCTTTTCCAGTTGGTTCCATTGACATTGCTTCAGCACTGTTTGTTGATTCCTCTGGTGTTTTAGACATTTCATGGTCATGTTCGTGTTCTGAATGGTGATGGCGATGTTTATGGTGAAAGGCTTGCAGCGAGAATCGACGGTGTGTCTGTTTACGTCCTCCCCGTCGTTTAGAAATGTGAGGGTTATCTTTCCGCATTGTTTTGGTTTTGTATATTTGTAACTGAGTATATAATCGTTTTAATTCAGCCTGAAAAACAAATAGTGATAATCATTATTAAAAACAACATTTAAAAAGTATAAGCTCATATCAAGATTTTTAACTGAAAATTATACGGGACTAAAACAACTCATAGTACAAGCTAGGTCCACCAATGTAGCATTATGAACATCATAGACCACTATTGTTGTTATGGCATGGTGTCTTCACCATATGTGTGTACACTTTGAGGATATTATCACTGTTTGTCTGAGAATTCCCCCAATCCCCCTCTCCTCCCATCCCCTCCCCTATACTACCTTAGCCTACAACACTGCTACAAACTAAGAGTAATATTGATGCCTGATTTCTCATAAATTTTAATGTGACTATGGAAAAGTCATACAACAAAAAAATCCCAACTTCGGAACTCTGTGCTAAGCTTTGTGATTGGAAAAATAACTCCACAAAGTGCGTTTAAAATTTATCATCCAGTAATTATATACTAAACACTAAGTCAAATTTGTTTCCATGGAAACACAAGAATGTTCAAATTGGTAAAAGGCACACCTACTATTATAAAAGTTTTGTAAAGACATTGTGAGAGCTTTCTGTGGGATGATTACAAAATCAGTAAATATTTAAAAGACTATAATGACCATTTTGTGATTTTGACCAATAATAATAACTTACTCTGATATCTTCTGGATCCATTTCTGTTAGACTTATCTCCCCTACATCTACATCTCCATTGGATGATATTCCAACATTCAATTTCATTGTTTCTGGTGCAGCATTATCTTGTACATCTGATTGAGAATACGCTCTATTTCTCATCAGGTCATCATCCATAGGTCTATGTGCATACCATAACTAAATAAAATTATAAAAAAGACATTGTATATTTTGTCATGACAAGGGAGATAATGATTACTTCTGGGTATATGGCCATATAAAAATATATGTAACAGACGACTTTTTTAAAGGACTGCAGGTGCGTGTCCAGAGATGGGGTCCAGGGGGTCCAGCCCCCCCCCCCCTGCCTCTGGTGCAGAGAATATTTTTTCTCTCCAACATTCATGGAAATAACACTGTTTTGGCTCTTACTCCACTGTAATCCTATACACGTGTGCACCTAAATGAGCAGAGAGCTCAAAGCTTCTGAATTTTTCAAATTCATGGGTAGTTCCCCCCGACATAATACCAAACTTGACGTCTCCTCCTGGATTGTCTGAGAGTGAGAATCAGAATATTTGATAAATCGTATATAGAATACAGTAAGTATGGTAGTTATGTGACATTGATAGGGTTTTGTTGATAAACCTACACTTATAATATACCTGCTTAATACACGTATACACCCACACAGAGATGTGCACAAACTTCTAAGAGCAATTCAAATTACTTTTTTTGATCGAAGATATGACTGTTTGTAGACGTAACGAAGATTGTTTATTATCGTAGCAAGGTTCTTGACAATATTATCCATTTTATCTTTAAATTTGTAAATCTTGCAGGTGTTCAAAATCCATGTAAATCACGTCCATCCGATGGTCTAGAAAGTTGATTATAGGCTTGTCATGTTAGTAACTGTCTAAATAATAATTTATACAACATTTGAAACCACAATAAAGACCTGCAATAGGTAGATTCAGCTCTGACATAATGTATCTTCAATAGATCTGAATTTGAGCTATTTGTTATACAGTGTCAAATGTGAATATTAATGGAGGTGGTAGAACTTACTTTTGGCCCCAATACAAGTATTAATACAACAGTTACAGTCAGCTGACAACGTATAAAATACATTAAAAACAAATAATCTGGATGTAGATCAAGCCACCAAATATGCCTGAAAATCAAAATCAAATATTATATACAAAATATATTTGTAAAAAATAATATCAACAACTAACAACAGGATCATAACAAATAGTTTTTTACCAGGTCTGGATATGGCTGTGACCAAATTAAAGAAATTGTAATTTAAAAGTGACTCACTCTGCCTCTTCAGGTGAGTTTTACCGAGTTCTCTCAAGATGAACTCAAGTATTCTTGGTTGAGTTCTCTCCAGATGAACTTGATCTACTATTCTTAATATAAACTCAAACTATTTGTAAGATAAACTGAGTGTGTTTGACCAAGGTCTCTAAAGATGAATTCAATGTGCTGTATTTTTAAGTTGAATAACATAATCTTTTGACAAGAACATTCTATACCAAACTTTAGTCTCACATATCACAGATTGTTTCATATATTTGTGATTTAACCCTTAGAACCGAAGCGGCCGAAAAAAAAAAAACGACTGCAGATATCCCTTGGCTAGAATACCGAGCAACTTCTCAGCCAATCAGTAAGGAACAGATATACCAGCCGCTCTGTATTCTAGGCATAAAACAAGTATATTAAGTGTAATTTGGTCCATTTTTACCCTGGGAGGCTAGTATATAGGCCTAATGTCATTAAGGGTGTATAAAGGGTTATGAAACAAATACTTACCTAAGAACATAAAATATAAAAGAAAGAATAGCTTCGTAACAAATAGCCGCAGACACATATTTCCTCTCAGAATAATCGGATGGAGCAGAACGAACACAGTAGCACATATAAATACCAAGACAAAGAAACAGAAACTCCGCTGAAACATACAATAATTACATAAAACTATAAAAATCTGTTATTTTCTTAAATTGGTAGGCTACTAAATTAACTTTCATATGAAATGAAATGAAATGGGGTTTAATGTCCTACTGTTCTGCTCCGACTGGGCTAAAGAAGACGGGCATAAGCTATACAGTGTGCTATGAGGGAAATCTTGCCAAGACAGCGGCGCTATGGCCTACTTAAAAGTACCAGAGCTTAATAAACTGTTAGAATTCCTAAATTAAAATACATATTCAACAATTAGTATGAACAAAAGCTGATTAATGAAAAATTATTCTGGTTTGTCTAGGCTTATTATCGCTTTAAATATTTAATAATTCTGTTATATATAAAGTTTTCAATTTTTTTACAGATAGAAAGAAATCAGGAGCCGTAGTGGCTCAGTGATTTCTCTGGTTCAATCCCAGTGTTTGCCAAGAAAGTTCTTGAGGATTTTCCTGTGTGGTTTCCCCATGTCAGTAATGCAGGATCTGGCCGTAGCGTCTCTGTCCTGGCAAATTTCCCTCATAGTAGGCTATGCCTGTTTTCATTAGCCCAGTTGGTACAGAAAAGTAGGATGTTAAAGCCCATTTCATTTCATAAATTACTGGCTTATGAAGTATATTTTAGTCTATTGAAGAGTCAATAAAACAAGTTCTTTATATAGTCAAATGAAGATTTAATAATTATAGTTCAGATTACTTACACAATTCTATCACATAATCCCACCAATGTGATTTACACAGTTTGTACAGTAGTTTATCTCTGGTTGTTCCCGTGTCAACCAGTGTCGCTCCTTCAGTTAAATGATCCATATTAACGGCAGTCCATGCAGCCATATATCCAATAGTAATAATTACAATAACAGCTAAATATTTCAACAAATCTCGATCTCGCACATGTACTCTGTGAGCCTTTCTGGACTGAAACTCTGCCAAAATACTGAAATTCAAAGAAAATGGATCAGTTATAAAGAAAGCATTCCAAGAAACTGACGCCTGTCATTTTGTCTGGCAGAGGTTATTCTTTTTTCAGTGATTTTACTGATACTGTTAATAAAATGTCAGACACAAAATTAAAAATATCAGGTACAATTTCTCCCCAAAATATATGCCCATAGACAGCAACTTATCCGAATGGATAATCTATAGCTTGTTCAAATGCTCAAGTTGAACTGTTTAAAAATACCCGCCGATCGTTAAACCAGTTTAATTTGACAGTCTGAATGCAACCAGTTTTAAAAAAAAAACATAACAGCTTGCGACCTGTCTTCGAGAAGACTTTTTGTTCTAAACTGGTTTAATTTCTTAAATAAAATCAATATTATTTATTATTATTATTATTAACTTGGCCATCTGACATGGTTAGCTTAAAATCCCCGGCTATAGCTTGCTTTGGACATGCGCAGTAACTAATATTCCTTGGAAAATGGCAGCATCATGCAATGCCAATGTTATAGAAGCGACAATGCCAATTAAAATGGCGGGGTGACTTCTTTAGTTCTAACAAATTTCCCAGAGATTTTTGACTAGATGTTTACACATATGCCAGGAAATGGTATTTGCCCATGCGTAGTTAAGTCTAACCTCTGACTGACAAGGTATAGCAATATAGTCGTGGCGACATAGTTTTTAAGAGTAACAACTCATGAAGTAATTATCAGAAATCCATTAGAATTTGTTTGGTTTTTATCAAGTTCTGCCCCATACTAACGTTTAGTATACAAAACGTTTAATATCATGGATTTAGCTGTTCAAGTCATAAAAATTCATTGAAAATCAACATACTTGTTCGTCTCAAGATCTTAAACTCTGTGTATCAATCTGAAGTCAATCAGATATTAACCTTAGCTTCTAGAGCGTCCACAAGATTTTTTGAAGTGATCAAGGGCCATAACTCTGGCAGTAATTATCGGAAATTGCTGAAAATCAATAGGCTTCTTCGTCTCATGGCTTAAACACTGTATACAAATTTAAAGTCAATCGGATATTAACTTTAGCGACGACAATATACGACATTTCAATGTGGGCGTATAAAAACGAACTGTTGCATTGTTATTCCTGGTAAGACCAACGTCTTAAGAAACCAGTAAGAAGCAAATACACAACGCGAAGCAGAAGTAAAGACAGCTAGAGACAAATTCTAGACGATCACAAGGCTACAGAAATATGTAGTAAGAAAAGATGCATGGGTCGTATGTAAGATGTGGCGACCGGTCTGGCATCTCCTGCTTTCCACGTAGGGGTCTTTAGCAGTGGGAGGAAACCAGAGGACCCGGAGAAAACCCACGAGGTTGGACAGGCGACCCTACTCCTTGCCACGTACATGTGATAAAGATGTCTTAAAGAAATATGATCTCTATCTTCTTAACAGGTTTTTCTAGACTTCAAATATATACACAGTGTATAAGGTCATGAAAGAAAAAACCCAATTGATGTTCAATGATTTCTGATAATTGATTCCAGATGTTATGGCCCTTGACGTCTTCGAAAAATCTTGTGGATGCGCTAGAGACCAAAGTTATCATCTGATTGATTTTAATAAATTTAAGGTCTTGAGACGAATAAGCTTACTGATTTCAATGATTTCTGATAACTTCAACAGCTAAATTCATAATATTAAATGTTCTGTATACTGAACGTTAGCATGGGGCAGAACTAGAAGCCAAACAAATTCAATTGATTTCTGATAATTACTTAATGGGTTGTTACTTTTAAATGTTTTCATTACCGAGAAATGAAAAATATGCAACAACCCTTCTAGACTGCTCCGACGACTAAGCTGCTGTGCGCGTATGTTTTACTGCCTGGGTTTGTAGCAACCTCTTTTAAGATAGGGTTGCCAGGCAACGAAACATACACCCACAGCAGCTTATAAGTTGTCCAAGCAGTCAACATAGTTTGTTTCATATTCTTTTTTTTTTTAAATATCTTAATGAAATAGAATTTTAAAATGTTTTCTGAGATATTTAAGGCTAGCTCTCTCAGATAATAAGTACATACTTGTATTGTTTCATTACTTTAAGACAAAGTGAACATCAATTAAAAAGTAATATCTGAAACCTTTCAAAAATATTTCTATACATTACTAATCTACTTTGTACTTATTCGAATGAAATATGTTCACTGATATCTTTCAGAAACCTCTGTCACATATGCTATTTCTTTAACAAGATTGGTTGGTTGTTTGTAAAAGACCTAAGAATCCACTGTCCTTCTATGCATGTAAAAAGTAGTGTGATAATTTTTGGAAGAAATACAAAAATTCAGTTTTGATGATAGACTGGCATAGTTCCCAAACATACACACAGATGCTGTGCCTGTATAACCTTGCCAATAAGTTTACTAGAGTGTGATAGTTATGCTTATCAAGTCATTCATATTCTTAGGGTTTGTGACTGGTAATTGTAAGATTTTCAGGTATATGGGTATTTATTAGAACTGATTCATATTGCATGTTTTGGTTAATATCACTATGTAAAAAAATACAGAGGATGAGGATGAAATTTATACACCAGCAAAAAAGGCTTAAGGTCTTCTATTTTGATTTTTATTCATACCATCCTTACTATTTATTTATTTTTAAATATTCCTGGCAAAATTATTACCTTAAACAAGTTTAGGTCAGTCAAGATAATCCTGCCCCCCTCGCTACACTTTATATATTAATTCCATGTCTTTTATTATGATTTTCATATTATTTTCTACTAAACATCCATGATCAAAATTTTTTAGAGCACCATACTGGCTAGTTTTGAAACAGATAATGTAAGAGTAGTAGTGTATTCGAAATATGTGTTATGATTAGTAAAACAGCTGTTGTAGATATATATGATCTTATAAACATTCTACACATTATAACCTGTTATAAACACAGCATGAAATAGTAACCCATGTTGAAACATCTGAGATTTTTTTCATTAAATTACATCCATTAAATCTAATACTCTATTTTTAAAAATAAATCTACAATCTATTTGTTGCTTTTTCTAAATATTCCTATGGTAGAAAGCATCAAAATTTCAAAGTAACTGATGCATTATAAAGCAACATTCTTCAACAAAATAGCCAAAGATAGGTTGCCAGGCAATGAAACACACCCACAGGAGCTAACTGAACAAGTTTTGTAGCACTATAATAGTAAGTGCAGAGGGACTGCACCACACATAATTTACACAAAAACAAATATACGGACAAGACATATTACGCAGAAATCACAAACAAACACACAGTATAAATATTTATACTGTAATACATGAATGGCATCTTGACAAAGATTCTATGACAATTTAGCTTTAAAGTATTTTATTTTATAACCTATATTCTATTATATTTGAAAATGGATTGGGGAACTGGCTAGAACTATGTTATGACTCCTCTCCATTTAGGGGAATAAATTTTTACGCGGTACTCAGTGCTGATTAAAATTGGCCCATCAAAGCAATGTGGGATCAAGTACTGGTGGGTTCAAATTTTGGTAATGTATATAGAAATGAGTCTGATCTGGACATTTCATATACATGTGCACCTGTTAAGTAGTAATACTAATAATTTTTCCAGCATTGCACTAACCATAACCAGTTTAAATCAGTCCTGGCTGTGTAAATGGACAGTGGCGTAGCATTAGCATATATAGAAGTTTGTGAGAAGCAGTCCCCAAAGGTGCAGACAGAATGGGGCACAAATTTTTCTCGAAATACTAGCCTATAATGTCTGTTAATTAAAAATTATGCCAGCAACCTGACTTATACATCTTTACTATTAGAAATGGATAGAACTTGAATTTTACTGAGACCTGGCATGGCACGCTTTATCCGGGGCCCAGTGTAAATGAGATATGAAACATTTGAATCAAATGTATTATTTGTGATGTTTGTAACAGGATACTGATAATTCTGATCTGTGATTCTGTGATAATAGTATGTGATGTGATGTGATGTTAGTGATATTTCCTTTTCTTTAGTGAGCGAGGTAGAAATACCAAGGATAGTTTGTGTTAGTGAACACAAGAATTTTAGCAGTCATAAAAATTTCATTAACAAAAATGTAAAGAAATCAATTCTATGACATGTGCAAGATAAACAGAGAAATTCCCCTTCTATAATAAATAAATTAAACACATTAACTGCCAAACAAGAATGTCACTTCGTTGAATAAACACAAGTAAAATCCTACATTAAATTTTACAGACATTCTAAAAGAATCTGCCAAAATAAACATCATGTTAGTTTGAGTTATTGTGAAGAACCATTACCAGAATACCAGATTATACTTTCAATTCAATCTGCTACAGGTAAGTTATTGGTAAAGATTAATGAATTGTAACCATTAATTGTTTAAAGTATTCAAGTATTTTAACCACTTGAACATTACCAAGATAAGATAATTCTTCTCAAAAATAAACATGTGTATATACGTTTCATCAATATTCTCCAAATTTTAATGGCATACGTTTCTGTCAGGACTGGATGCCAACTAGAACCCCACACATTCTGGTTCTTGAATTAAACCAAGACATCCGTTAATGTAAAACATCCCATGACACATGAAGTTTAATATGAGTATTGATGAAAACACAACTACAAAGTGTTCCTTCATGTTGCACATTTAAAGCTGCATTCTGTAAGTGCTAAATCTGCTTATTGTAGATCTTTCTTTTGGCTTCAAATTTTATATAAATTATTATATTTAGACATTTATTCACATGTCAAGCCTATAATCAACTCTCTAGACTATTGGATGGTCAAGATTTAAATGGATTTAAACACCCGCGAGATTTAAACTGGATAATTAAAGACTTTTGTCTCGATTGTCAAGATCTACACTAGATCTTGTCAACACTTCAAACATCAATAACTGCGCTCAGAATAAAGTAATTTGAATGAAATTTTCTATATATTTTATTATCTAGTTTGAACTAGTATAGCAAGAACAGCCAGCTCTTAATCTAAATCTTACTCTATGCATCTTTAATCTCAAATTCATACCTCAATCCTTTCATTTCAAAAAGATTTAATTTGTTTAAAATAAAGTGTCACTCACCGATATATTTTTAGCAGCAAAGCTCCATAAACAACGGCAAATCCTACTTCTCTAAACCATGGTACTAATACACAGGTCAGTGTTGTTGGTTCAAAATACTGTATCACCACCTAAAACAGTTGATTATAATGCAAAAATGAAATGAAATGAAATGAAATGGAGTTTAACGTCCTATTATTCTGCTCCGAACTGGGCTAATGAAGATGGGCATATGCCATACAGTGTGCTATGAGGGAAATTTTGCCTACTCTTATATCAAATTGCAACTGTCAAGAGATCTTATACGTGCACGCCAATTTGTACACATGACCTTGGTTTTTCGTACCATCCGAACTACTAGACAGCTGTCCTTGTCAGGCCCTGCATCACTGACAAGGGGAAACCACGGCGGAAAATCTGGATGAACTTTCTCGGCCAATGCAGGGATCGAACACCCGACCTCCAGGCTAGCGAGCCAGCGTCTTACCCACTTAGCCACGTGATCCCCACATTTTACAAAGTTATATACTTAACGGAAATCATTAAAATAGGCTGCATAGTTTCACCAATTGGACTATTGCATGTATATTTCAGACAGATCAGGTGGAATAGATACATGTAATATCAGGAATCATTGAAATTCAATAGGATTCTTCATCTCACTAATTTTATCAACTTGCAAAAAGATCAAATAATTGGACATGTCTATTGCTAAAAAAAATTCGAATTTTTTTTTAATCAACATTATAGCACTAAGTAAACAACAATTGTTTTTGAACTGTTTTTGTTGAGTTATTTAATACAAGTGTTAAACATGCTTTAATTGTCATGGATGTTGAAACTGAAACATCTGGGAAAGTTACTAACATCATGATGTTGAACAATCCAATTTAACCTTGAATGTCACACCTGTCGCTAATGTAATAAGATACCTTACTGTTTCCAGTCTCATTAGCTATCCATTAATGTCATAGTCAATATTTCTTCATTAGAGGTGAAAATAAGATAAATTAAATATACTTACAGTAGCGTATAACAACAAAGCTCCAAATAAAACCATCTCTAATAATATCCACATACTAGTTCTCATTACCTACAAAAAAAACCCATACATTTTAATAATATATACATTATCTATAAATAATTCCAATTTAATTATAATATATACATTACCTACAAATAAACATACATTTTAATAATATATACATGTATATATTAAACTCAATGTCAACAAGACCTACCAATCAAGATTTTAAAATATAGCCACATCGATATAGCTGCTATGTCTTGAAAAAAAAGATAAAACTAGACATCAGCTTATCCAAAATAAAAAGTTGGATTTTGACCAAACTTGATAAAGACCTATAACATATATATATATATGGAAGAACAATTACTGATTTATTTTCAAGCACGTTGAAAACGTTGAGAGAATACTCTTTGAAACGTCGCCTAAATAAATCAGTAATTGTTCTTCCATAAGTATGTGTTATAGTTTATTGCTCTATCCAGTTACTAAATGCCTCTAAAAGATTGATAAAGACCCTTGATGGCTTCAAGAAATCTGATCTCTATCATGTTTTCAAGCTTTTCCAGAAACTTAATATATCTCTGGAACTGAACGCCATAGAATGCTGAGAATCTCTCATCCAAAAGCTTCACACAAAACTTAAAAATCAATAGGGTTTATCCTGGTAGGTTCTTTTTTTTTGTATGTAACTTTGCATGCAAACGATGGTTGTTCAATAGTGTCATGGTTATCAGATAATGTCATGGCTTCTATATGACTGGTTATTAAATAGTGTCATGTCTTCTGTATGACTTGTGTAATTCTGCTGTTCACACCTCATATGGGTTCACAGCCCAAAATACATAACAAAACACATCCTCAGGGATGAAAAACAATCAAATTCATCCTCTCACAGTCCTAATGCTTCACAGAAATCGTGTTCGCAAGGTTTCAGAAAAGGTGACATAACCCCAATGCATCACACCAAATTTGAAACAAAATCTGTTAAAAACTGTAACCTGTATCACATTCACAATGTTTTCGGAATGGGGGTGGTGGTAACTCCAGAATGGGAGGTCGCAAAACATTAAATATCAATATGAGCAAAGTAAACATGATGAAAAGTAAGGTTTTATAATTTCTTGAAGATACTTAGAAGAATTAATATTCTTAAAGATGGATTATATAAGATTTAGATATAGAGCTGACCAGTAGAGGATCTAGAAGCTGTCAATAGAAAGGGGGGAGGGATCGGTTGCAAATCTAGGGCGCCATCCACAATCCCAGATCTCAATAAACTGACCATAGATCGTATTGCCTATATAGTTGGTTGCCAATCGCTATCTTGCAGTTTTATTCAATTTGAAATAAAGTTTGCACCTGGAACTGACATTTCTCGCTATAATAGTTTAAAGATAGGTTGCCAGGCAACGAAACATACGCCCACAGCAGCTAAATCGTCCGGGCAGTCAACAAGAGTTGTCGCATATTTTTACTTTTTTCGATAATGAAACATTTATAATACACTAAAATCTGATTAAGAGCAACAACTCAGAAAACCATTAGAATTTGTTTGGTTTTTATAAAGTTCTGTTCCAAGTCATAACAATTCATTGAAAATCAATATACTTGTTCGTCTCAAGATCTTAAACTCTGTGTATCAATCTGCAGTCAATCGGATATTAACTTTGGCCTCTAGAGCGTCCACAAGATTTTTCAAAGTGATCAAGGGCCATAACTTTGGCAGTAATTATCAGAAATCTTTGAAAATCAATAAGATTCTTCGCCTCGTGACCTCAAACACTGTGTATAAATTTAAAGTCAATCAGATATTAACTTTAGCCTTTAGAGCATCCACAAGGTTTTTTGAAGTGATCAAGGGCCATAACTCTGGCAGTAATTATCGAAAATCACTGAAAATGAATAGACTTCTTCGTCTCATGACCTTAAACACTGTGTATAAATTTAAAGTCAATTGGATATTGACTTTAGCCTCTAGAGCATCCACAAGATTTTTCAAAGTGATCAAGGGCCATAACTCTGGCAGTAATTATCGTAAATTGCTGAAAATCAATAGGATTCTTCGTCTCATGACCTTAAGCACTGTGTATAAATTTAAAGTCAATAGGATATTAACTTTGGCCTCTAGAGAGTCCACAAGATTTTTTTGAAGTAATCAAGAGCCATAACTCTGGCAGTAATTATCAGAAATCGCTGAAAATCAATAGGCTTCTTCGTCTCATGACTTTAAACACTGTGTATAAATTTAAAGTCAATCGGATATTAACTTTCGCCTCTAGAGTGTCCACAAGATTTTTTGAAGTGATCAAGGGCCATAACTCTGGCAGTAATTATTGGAAATCGCTGAAAATCAATAGGCTTCTTCGTCTCATGACCTTAAACACTAAGTATAAATTCAAAGTCAATCGGATATTAACTTTGGCCTCTAGAGCGTCCACAAGATTTTTTGAAGTGATCAAGGGCCATAACTCTGGCAGTAATTTTCGGAAATCGCTGAAAATCAATAGGCTTCTTCGTCTAATGACCTTAAACACTTTGCATAAATTTAAAGTCAATCGGATATTAACTTTGGTCTCTAGAGCGTCCACAAGATTTTTTGAAGTGATCAAGGGCCATAACTCTGGCAGTAATTATCGGAAATCGCTGAAAATCAATAGGCTTCTTCGTCTCATGACCTTAAACACTGTGTATAAATTTAAAGACAATCGGATATTAACTTTAGCCTCTAGAGCCGACGGACGGACGGACGGACGGACGGGGCGACGACAATATACGACCACATTTCAATTTGGGCGTATAAAAACGGTTAATGCAAAAGGAATATATTGAAAATTTCAGTTGAATTTCTTTATTCTGAGCAAAGTTATGACCGTTTGAAGAATAGCCTAGTCCTCAACTTCATTGCTGTCATTGTTAAGATAATTAATAAAGTCTTGATTATCCATTTTTAAATTAAATCATTAAATGATGACCATGTTTCAATCCGTTTAAAATCTCAACCATCTAATGGTCTAGAGAGTTGATTAGGAGCTTAATGTGAATAAATGTATAAATATAATAGTTTATATAACATTTGAGGCCAAAAGAAAGATCTGCAACAGGCAGATTTAGTTCTTACATAATGTATCTTGAAGTGTAGTATATGTAATAACATATAAAAAGGTTGGATGATAAATGTAGTCTGTAGAGAGTTCACAACTGACAGGGGAAACAGCAATATATGATCACATTACGTTGACTGAAATGTGGTAGTAGGAAAAAATGCTACTGAAAACTTTCAGAATCAGATTGATATTTTCCTAAAAATAAAATCAAAATGCCTTTGTTGCATACCAGTAATTTTCTTCAAAGAAATTTGTTCAAAAAATAATTTGATTTATCATTCGAAACGAAATAATTTTTCAGCTACTCTCTGGAGGCTCCTCAATGACTGTGTGAAGAAGAAGTTTTAATTACAGCCAAGCAATCCCAATAAATTATTGTTAATAAAATGTAAGATGATCATGAGTGGGCAGAGGATTTAGATTAAAAATAATATACAACCAATGAGAGTGGACCAGAAAATCACAGAGAAACAGATTTTTGACATGAATCTCCAAGATAGTAAATCGAACCTATCCATCAATTACAAGAACAGTGAAAAAAAAAACTAATGACTTTTTTGGCAGGTGGGGGACTTAACAGGTAAACAGAATAAATAAATACTAATATATCTTTAATGCAACTCCATATTGTCAGGAAAAGATGACACAATGGGATGATGTAGTTATTGTGTATTCATTCATACACAAATAATTTTTAAGTCTGTCATATGTATTAAAATGATAATAAAAGATATAATAATCTATAAACACAGCTGTGTACATTATTGACTATTATGTAAAACTAGTAGATTTACATGTCATGTTCTATTATGCTTATTTGTATATTTATAGTGTAAAAATCTGTTAGCATTTTACATTCATTTTTGAAATGTCATATCTCCACTCATGTTATATTAATGTCAATTATATGCCAATTACATATGTACCTCACCACTAACCTTTTAAAAATGCCTGCACAGTTTCTAAATACTTACCACCCTCCATAGGAATTTGGGATGAAATAATTAGTAAAATTAATCTGATTAAACATACATTATGCAAGAGCTAAATCTGATTATTGCAAGTCTTAATTTAGGCTTCAGATGTCATAGAAATTATAAATTAAATCTTTATTTACACAACAAGCACGAAATCAACTCTGTAGACCAACGGATGGCTTGGATTCAGCTTGGATTTAAACAGTATTTCGTTGACTGATTTAATTTTAAATGGCGTCGTGAGTGGGGATTAACCGTTACGTTGACGTCATACTCCCGGGTCGAGGCTAAATGATAGAGTGTACGAAGCGAGGCCGCTGTTGAGCGATGCCTTAACAAATGACATCTAAACTATTTAAAGTGCAATAAACTAAACACAGATAATGACAAATTATACAATTCCTGGAGACCGTGTGATGACTAATACAGACGGACAGGTCTTCTGTCTTAATAATATCAATAAAAATATTTTTATTTCCCCAATAGGCACGACGCCACTGGTGTATACCTATAGATTTATCATAATTGTATTATAATATTATGTCCTATATTCAATTGATTTAATGTAGACAAAATACAGCATAGATTAAGTAGGTGGAGTTAACACCTGTCAATCAAACGATCGGCTATACTAAGAAACAGTGAAGACGAAATTCAATCCCATTTCTAGTCAAAAATTACACTGGTGATACCTATGTTCAGAATAAAGTAATTTGACTGAAATTTTCAATATATTCTTCTTTCATCATCTATTTTTGAACTATTATAGCAAGAATGGCTTACTCCTTATAAAAATCTCCCATAATGTATCTTTAAAATACAGATCTATATTTCGTTTGGTTTTTTTATATACTTTCGATGGGCTACACTACATGAACATCTTATCAGTTGTAGCGATAGGTCGCGTCAGAGGTCATACAAGCGGCTTTTGACCCTATGACATCAGACATTTGATTAACCAATCAGCATTGATGTTACTAGT